AACACGGCCTTCTCGACTAGGCCACGGAAGAGGGGAATAACCCGTAGTCGTAACAACAGACGATAATACTGGGCGCTGTCCAATATGCCTTTATCCCAATATAAATATGCGATATTGTGAGGCTGCGAAGAGTAGGATACCCCGAAAAGAGGCTGGAAAAGAGTTATGAATTTGATATGATGTCTCTTGATGCCTCTTGCTGGATGAATTCGTTATACTGATGGAATGACTGGCTATCGCGGTGACCGTTCAAAGCAAAAGGGTGGGTGGCCTATTGTAGTGGGCTGATGACAGGCCAGGTGCTATGGTGAATAGTAAGATGCTTAGTAGCACCTAACGAGCCAAATGCTGAATCAGGTAAGCAGTCTCTGGTATTAATAACGTGAATAGAACGGAAAAGAACTAGGAACCGGCGATAGCACCGCGACGATTAGCCAGCCTTAGCGATCGAATATCGCTCGGAGGCAGTTATTTAGTAATCTCGATAAGAATTTCGAGCGGTACACGGTCTATGTTGACGTTCCTTATTCGGGTATATTTCGCGCGAAGGGATATCCACGTCGAAGGCCTACTAATATATACACGATTAAGCGCCGCGTGGGACAGGATACCTACTTCTGGAAACTAAAAAGCTAGGCGGTAAGAAGCGCTTACTAGTACTGTAAGCGTATCTTGCCTAGTAAGGTAATTTACTAGTTAGAACAGATACCACTTACTAGGGAGCCTGCTAATCGTTTACCAGCCGAAAGTTCGACCAGCCAGGCATCTAGACCTTTACCAGTGAATGGTTTCTTATTACTTAGTAAGGTTCCTTATTCCTTACCGAGATTATAATATTAGCTATACTAGGATTATGGTTTGGAAGTTACTAGGAAGAAGCGCTACTAGTATTGTAAGCACACCTTGCCTGGTCAGGTAGTCTACCAGTCAGGATAGATATCACTTACTAGTAAGCCCGTTAATGGTTTACCAGTCGAAATTTCGGCCAGTTAAATATCCAGGCCTTTACCAGTGAACAGTTTCTTATTGCTTAGTAAGGCTCCTTATTTCTTACCAGGAATATGCCATCAGCTTTACTAGGACTGTGGTCTGAGACTTACTGGGAAAGGGTGATCACCTGTTTGTTTGTTTGTTTGTTGTTTGTTTATTCATAGACTGTCCCAGCCGCCGTAGGCAGCTATGCAGCGTTCTACTATCATACATCTGCCCCTATCACAGCCAAACCAGCCGTTCGCCTCCACGAATTGCTTGCCTTGCTGTTCTTGGGTCGCATCTATACTAATAGCTTTCTAGGTCTTCTATATCTCTGACTTGTCAGGCCGTTTCCGGCCCTCCTTCCCTTCTGTGTAACGAAAATCACTCGTCTGCGCTCTGTTCTGTGAGTACCGTGGACGGCACGGCCTGGAACTGGCCCAGGAGCCCCGTCCTCATCATCATCTTTGCTGCTTGTACTGCCATTGACGGGCTGCAGAGAATACGCTTGACGTCCTCGCATGGAGGCTTGCCTGCCCACATCTGGTGTCGCTCCTCCATCCAGTTCCTGCATTCGAGCAGGACGTGTCGTACTGTTTGTCGCCCGTATCCACAGTCGCATTTGTCAGTGTCAGCTTTGTTGATGGCGTGGAGATACGCCCGCAGGCCGATCTTGCCGGTGCGCATCTGTGTGATGATTGAGCTAATCGCCCGGTGTAGATTGTCGTGAAGCGAGAGCACCTCCTTGGCCGGGCGCACCCCAAGCTTGAAGAGCTCCCTGCCGTGTTTGGCCGTTTCCCATGCGGCGGACCATTCACCCTTCATGGTGGAGCGGATGGCGGACTTCGTTGTGGCGATGAGTGTCCGCGCAACAGCCTCCGGTGCCTCTGGGTCGCACTCGGCGGCCTTTTTGGCTGCCCGGTCTGCCGCTTCGTTACCAGGCACGCCGACGTGGGCCGGGATCCAGCGGAACTGGACCTCCCAGCCTTTGCCGCGGAGCTCATGGAGTGCCTGAACGATTTCCGCTAGGATGTATTGACCAGAGGGAGCTCTTGGGTTTCGGATCGCCTGGATGGCGGCCTGGTTATCAGAGAAGATGACACCCTTCTTCGTCTCAGCCCAATGATCTTGTACGTCGAGCAGAAGCTGCAAGGCCAGCGCGAGGCCTCGAAGCTCTGCCGCGTATACCGTGGAGGTGCTGGACGTGCCCATGTACCGGGTCCGCGTCGTTTCGACATTGTCCATCCGAAGGAAGGGTGCTACCGCGGCCGCTCCAACGTGGTCGTTGATGCCGCTCCCATCGGTGAAGATGCAGATCACACCGAGCTCCACCGAGTCGTGTTCCTCGATCGCCTCGTCGGCCGACTCAGCGATCCTGGTGAAGGGCGGGGTCCACCACGGTGGCACGATGTGTGGCTGGCGTGTTTCCAGGCGGTCGAGCTGCACATTGTACTTCCGTTCGAGCATGGTGGACAGGTGGCCGAGGGGGCTCTGGTCCTTGCATGCACCTTCCGTGCTTGGCGCCATGTCGGCGTACATGGGTGTCGTTCTGATGCGCATAGCGGCTTCCAGTGCTGTCTGCTCCATCTGCTGCTCGACTGGAAGCAAGTGGGCCTCCACATCGACGGCAGCTGCGGCGGTGGTGCGGAACGCGCCGGTGATGACTTGCGCCGCACGCCTCTGTATCTTTCGGATGGCAGCCGCCATGTCGCTGCCTCTGCCGATGCGGCGTTTGCCTGGCATATGCCATGCCGAACATCCGTAGAGCATCTGAGGCACAATCATGGCTCGGTATACTTGTCGCATGTTCACCATCCTTGTGCCCCACGTTGATGAGGCCAGAGCTGACAAGGCAGCCAACCTTTTCGTGGCTGCGGCTTCCAGCTTCTCACGATGACGTCCCCATCGAAGCCTAGTGTCCATCTGGATGCCAAGGTACCGGCATGATGGGGAGGCTGCGATGGTGGCGTGGGGGAGGCGCAGGGCATGCGTGCTGTTCACCTTCGGATCTCGGGTGAAATGGACGAGTTCATACTTAGCTGGTGCGAACTGTGATCCATGCTTCGCTGCCCATGCCTCTGCTTCCTGGTGGATGGTTTTGAGGATCTTGCAGTTGCGTGGTGCCGTTGGGCTGACCGCCAGGATTGACACATCGTCAATGTACCCGATCGCTTCAGTTTCGTCCGTTCTACAGGCCTCAATCAGGTCGGCGTTGTAGAATAGGTAGAGGATTGGCGATACGGGTGATCCCTGCGGTATGCCGGTTTGGATGGGTGCTGACGGTGCTGTATACTCCTGTAGCTTCAGCGTCGTGGATCGGCCGCTGAGAAACGAGGCCACCCAGGCTATGATCCTGGGACAGATCTGCCGCTTTCGGAGGTTGTGTAGTAGCCGTTCGCGGGATACGTTGTCGTAGGCCCCCGACACATCGAGCAGTAATAGGGAGGCTACCTCACCTTCTGCCCATGCTTGGTGGATCCGTTGGAGGAGGAAGTGCATGGCATGTTCGGTCGATGCGAGCTTCCGCCCCCCGGTGTGTCGGCTCGGGAGAAGCTGGTAGGTATCGGCCATATAGGTGAGCCGATTCGCAATGATGGCTTCCATCGCCTTCCCAAGTGTGTTCAAGAGGGCGATTGGCCTGTATGACTTTGGCTGGGTATAGTCATCCTTTCCTGGTTTCCTGAGCACCACCGTCACTGTGTCCTTGAAGTGTTTTGGGCAGTACCCGAGCTGCAGGCACGCATTGAAGAGCTTGCAGAGGTGTGGCAAGAGAATGTCCAGGGTCTCATGCAAAATGCCGTTGGTGATGCCGTCGGTACCGGGGGCTTTGTTCGGGGCTGCTCTGCGTACTGCCCTGTCTACTTCCGTCAGGGTAATGTCCGGGCATTCGATCGATGGGGGATAGTCGTATCCCTCTATGTCAGAGAGATTAGCCCGAAGCGGAGGCGGGAAGAAGGCTTGCCGCAGGACTTCGGCCTTTTCCTCTGGTTGCTGGGCCAGCTCCCCGTCTGGTCTTACGAGTGCCGGCGTGCAAGCTGGCGAGGTGTTGTGTCTGTTTTTGGCCCACTTGACAAGGTTCCAGAGGCCTGACTGTGATGTGGATGCCTCGGTGATTCTCTGCCGGTGGGCATCCCGGAGGGTCTTCTGGATATGTCTCCCCTTTCTGTTGCGCGCCTTTCGGTAGGCCTCATAGTCGTCGTCATGCCTCGATCTCTGCCACCGTCGGCGGAGTTGCTGGACCTCTGTACAAAGGTCTTTGCATTCTTGATCAAATCCGGCCACGGAGCGGGGCGACGGTTTCGACCATGGGGTAAGGGTGATCACCTCTACCAGTCGAGAATATGGGCTTCAAGCTCCTGTCGCCGCACTGTCGCCTCCGTTTTCCGAGCTCCTCGGGGTATGTTTACTCATTGAATCAGTCACTGGTGAAGCTCCTCGGTTTTGGGCTTCACCGCACTCGCTATCTAGAGAGCCAAGGGATTAAACACGGCCGAAACGTATATTAGCAGCTAGCAGTATACGTCGACGGTTTTTACTATAGTAGACTAACCCTATAACGATTGGCACGCCGAGTAGCTACTTAATAGTATATTATCCTAGACCCTTCCTGTGCTACGCTATAAGTAGAAGAAAAGATAAGACTAAGAGAGGCAAGAGAAAACCAATTTGTTAAACCAGACATAAACGGCCTATATATCCAAACCATTCGTCGAAAATTGTATAATAAGCACCCTTCCCGAGTGGCAACCGAGTATAACTATCGATCCAGAAACGGCCGAACTTAACGGTTAGTACTCGGAGGGTATCTATAGTAACGCCTCCGTATCCCTTACGATCCAAACGTTATCTAGGCCTATACTATAACCGTGATAAGAAACGATTCGCGGAGGGCTATAGGACGTTTTAGAACCTATTACAGGCTGACCTAGATCCTGGACACTAACTTCGGTGTAGAGACGAGAACTGGACGTCTTATCGAAAGAAAGATAGAATAATGCTCTGCCAACCTCGAACGTCTGCAGACAGGCCCCCGTAGCCGTATCCCATAGCTTGATGGTCTTGTCACGGGACCCGGATGCAAGCCGCTGACCGTATACGGCAAACGCGACCGAGCTGACCTTATCCCTATAGCCCTCGAGCGTCTGCAGACAGGCCCCCGTAGCTGTATCCCATAGCTTGATGGTCTTGTCCCAGGACCCGGATGCAAGCCGCTGACCGTCCGCGGCAAACGCGACCGAGTTGACCCCACCGCTGTGGCCCTCGAGCGTCTGCACACAGGCCCCCGTAGCCGTATCCCATAGCTTAATGGTCTTGTCACCGAACCCGGACCCGAATGCAAGCCGCTGGCCGTCTGCGCCAAAAGCGACCGACATGACCGTTCCGCCATGGCCCTCCAGCGTCTGCACGCAGGCCCCCGTATTCGTATCCCAGAGCTTGATAGTCTTGTCATCAGACCCGGATACAACCCGCCCGCCGTCTACGGTAAAAGCGACCGACCTGACCTATCCGCCATAGCCCTCGAGCGTCTGCACGCATACGTTCTATTCCGCTTCCACGATCGGCATCCTCGTGATCCACTTCGGCGCGTTATCTTTAAACAGCTTTCTCACTACGCTATGGGTAGGACTAAAGACGAGAGCTAACGCGTAAACTTATAGCGGGGCAATTTCTACCGCTCCTTTACAATATAGGATAAACCGACGAGCGTCTTTGGTTAGCTCTGCTAGTTATGATCTTATGCTCTCCTAAGAGATTATCAGGTTTCGAGCACTTTAATAGTATGATTGGGGCTTACCACTAGAGCCTCCAGCTTCTGTACCGCCAATACTGCCTGCGATATGCCGCGTAGTAGGGCGAGCGCCTCTAGCCAATACAGATACTTCTGCTAGAGAAATATATAAACGGGGCCGTTATCTTAGAGATATTCCCTTATATAGATTGCCTTTTGCAGATAATTAACCCAGTGCACGGATAAGTATCGCACAGCGGCTAATAGGTCTGGGTTTAGGGGTGAGATATCGTCGACTAAGAATCCCGGGGAGTATAGCTCGTAGATATCGCGTCGTAGCGTCTAAGATAAAATCTCTAGAGACGTTAAGAAGATAGTATAGTGCTGGTGTGGAATGCCGGAGGGAAAGATCCTGTCGGAAGCTTTGTCTAGCAAGAAGTCCTTTGCTGACTAGTGCATAAAATAGACTACGTCTTCTCGAAGAGTCAAAAACGAACCACAGGATCTAATAATGTCTTCTAAGGATTTAAGGTCGTTATAGAAGGGATAAAGTGACTTAATAATAGAAGTTAACTCTTATAATACGACGGGGCGGTATACGACCGAGATAACGGCGAGTATCTGTTTGTATAGGTCTGTATCGTTCGAATTATAGATATACTCTATCATCCGCTGATATAAAGAATCAAGGCCTGGTGGGAAGCTCTTAAGGATATCGAGCGTATGCCACTTCCGGACTTTCGAGTCCGCGAGCTCCTAATAAACTAAGGCCACCTAAAGGAAGGTGTTGTTTGACTTGTCGGTGAAGTGTTTATGAACGGCGTCCCGGGTTTCTGAGTCGTACTTCTTAAGCTGCGCTAATTCGCCTACTTTATAGCGGATATAGACGTGAACGGCATAGGATATTAAGTCTTAGTTGAGTTCGAGACGGAGGGTTATCTTCTAGGCGGCGCTATTCAGCTTCTCCTTAATATCCGGCCAGTTACGACTCGACACGATCCACTTAGCGCGGGAAGATATAGATATGCGCACGATGAAATCGAGAAGCTGTGGTCGGCCGGCGTATTCCTTACGGACGTGGGAAACAAGCCGCGGGCGCTAGCGGACGAGGCTATAGATTAGCCCACGTAGTACGGCAGTCGCCTTATTCAGTTTTTATTCGGTAGCCTAGCAGAAGAAATAGGAAAGCGGATTCCTAGTGTCTTTCTCCAGCTCGTTAATAATACCGTATAGTAGTATCGTTTTGCCCTTACCAGAGTCGCCTCTAATCCAGAAGAGTCGGCTATACGGATCTATACGCCACGCTTTGAAGTCAAGATTATCGAGGACCTGGGAGTATAAGTCTCGAAGGAGGCCGCCCTTAATATTTTAAATACGTGTCTTATCGTGGTGAGAATCCGTCTAGTAGAGGTCTTCTAGGCATTTCTTATCTTATTTATCCTACTATATCTCGTCCTATCGCCTGGTTTAGTGTTAAATAGCAGAGGTGATATTTTGAAATTCTATGTATTAACGTTCTGCGGTTCTAGCCAAGGCTTATAGACGGTCTCGTACGTATTACGAATTATATTACTCCGAGTCGCTCTAGATAGCGGCCTCGGCAGCCTTAAGGTTATCGAGCACGCCGGCCTAGTTATCCAGTACGAGTATATCCCTAAAGAAGACGGCGACCCGATTCCGGTGGTAGAGGCAGATACTCTTTATCTGATACAGGAGAAGCTTCTAGTAAAGTTAGCTAATATAAATCGTAAGCTAGTCTTATAGGCCTGCTAATATCGGACTAGCACCTTTATTAAGGAGGAGGTTAGCTAAGTTCCAGTACTAGTCTATCCTTAATAGGACGTAAGCAAGGCCGTTACGATTAATACCTGGCTTAGTGAATAGGTTCGCGAGGATCTAAAAGCATTAGTAGACGATAGTGGTCCTGGCTAAGTTAAGCTTACCTCTAAAGTAAAGGAGACGCTAACCCAGGCTAGCGCGGCTTCCGGGACGGCCCGTATCCCCTTATCTATTAGTCCCTTTACGGATAATACGACCTATATTCCGTCCCCAATCTATTACTTTATAGTAGCCTCTTTTTCCGTTCTTTACAGCCCGGCCCGGACTAGCTACTTTATCTAGTGTTATCTTCCCTCCGAGGTAAGACGAATATTATGGTTAGTCGCGGTGGAACCACTATTCTATAGTTCGGCCGACAGGAACTTCTCGTATGCCTCGACTATTTTAGATCTATTCGTCTTAAGCTCGTCGTACGCTCGATTCCAAAGCCGTTTATAAAGGCTCGCCGGCGAAGTTTCGGAAAGGGAATATAGCTAAGGAGTGGTGACTAGCGTGGATAAGGCTAGAGGAGGGGTTATCCGTCGGCTTTTAATCTTAGACCTAATCTTCTGGAACCACTTAGGCATAATATACTTTATAAGGGTTAGCTCCCGCAGGATAGCGTTATCGGAGGGCTTAAAGGTAATATCGACGGATGGATATTATCCTCTTGCTTCGAAATAGCGATATTCTGGCCTTTATACAGGGGATTCAGCTAAAGATACTAGTCTCGGCGTAAGTAAGGTGTCTAATAGGATGGCCAGACTGTGTTGGAGTGCACTGTTAGGCTCGTGAGGGATATAAGCAGGGGCTAGCGGGGCTCGAACGATCTGATTAGCCGCCGAATACTCACTAAAACACGTTCTATAGCTAAATTAGTACTTTAGTGCTAAAGGAGTTAGTGATATAAAAAGGAACCGAACGGAGCTTATACAGAATAGTAACGTAGTCGGCCCCGGCTATCCTATTACCTTCTATCCGTAAAGTATATACGCTTTTTATAATAATCGTTACTATACCTTACTATCTGCCCTATAGATAATAAGCTAGTATAAAGGGCTTTATTCTCGAACCTCTTAATTATTATTATTAGTTCTTCACTACGATACGGCCTAATATCCGGTCCTCTCGGTTAATAGCTTAACGCCCCGAGATAGTATTTTATCGCGGCCGTACGGCGATTACTAACCTAGCTTACTAGAAGACGAACTTACGGAAGATCGACGTTATCGATAATTAGGTAACTCTTACGCGGAAGTTTGAAGTTAAAGAAGCTTAACCAGAAAGTAATCTATCGAAATAGCCGTTAATCGTATCCTCTTTTCTCTCTAGCCTTAGTAGATAATACTATTATTATTAGCTGCACTTAAATACGGTAAATGCTTAGAGCTTCGAGATACTACCTTTAGCGATCTATTAAGAGTAATATTAACCGTAAAAAGGGATATAAGGCTGCACTCACTATATAGCGGGAATACCTACCTATGCTCTTGTAAGTCCTTTCGGGAGCTTTCTACCACTAGGAACCTTAGTGTTAATCCCTTTTAGCCAGCTATCTAGTTATATTCCTGCTCTATTCTTTAAGAGAAGCCTTATATACAGCTATAATCATGGCGGCGTCTTATATAGAAGACTAGACCGGTCTTATAATCTCGGGGACTAACCGCCTAGTAAGAACCAGTAGCTTAGATACCGTGAGTAAAGGATATAGCCCCTAGATACTATACACGCGGCTTTTTGTATCCTACTATGGCTTATAGAAAAGGCTAGGTGGCGTGGTGGTGTTTTAAGGGGAGGAGACCGGATTTAGCATAGCTAAACTATAATATATTATAAATAGAACGTTCGAATAGAAGTGGAAAAAGTTCCTTAGTGGCTTTAGAGTATCTTACACCCGAGATAATCCTGCTAAATTATAAAGAGCTATGAATAGTATACCACACCTATACCACTTAGTAGCTTTTCTATATATTTATCTATGTATATTCTTTCCCCCCGCCCTCGACCCTTTCCCCTATTAGCCTTTTGGTTTATCTTCTAATTATCCACCGTGTTATCCCTAATATCAGAGTTAAGGAGCGTACGGGCCCAGCTTTCTAACCTATCCTCGTAACTAACACCCACTAGGGTGTCTTCTCCTTCGAACGATAATAATAGCGCTAACGATAACGAGAATACCGTTAATTTAGAGGAGGCTAAGCCGCGTATCACCGAGATCGAGTTAAGGTATCGTCCAGATTTAAGACATGCTATTAAACTACTCTATCAGCTCCAGAGTTCTAATAAATACGACGAGTGTATTTAATTATTATACCTTATTCAGCTAGTTTAACTTATACTCTTAGGAGAATATAGGGATAGTACTACTCTACTGCTCGCTCTGCAGGGTATCGTAAATACTATCGAGGCGATCTCTATAATAACTAAGGACGTGACACCACTAAGTTAACGCAAATCCTCCCCTAGCTATAATTTATAGGGTGTAGGAAAGACTAACCGGCACCCTAAGTCTTCTATAGACACTAAGCTTATTAAAGCTCTTAAGGATCTATACTAGGAAGAAATTATAATAAAAGAGGGGCTACCGGCCCCCCTACTAAGCTTAGAAACGTATATCGCACTTATTCTTCTAGGGATAAAGCTAACCGTACTTAGTAATTCGAAGTATAAAGCTATTAAGTAAATATCGGGAGCACTTAAAGTAAATAAATAGACCTTTAACAAACTACTCGAGACTCTGGAGATATTAGATAGCTTTAAGCAGTATAATATCGCCCTATATTCCGCCTATACTATAATCTTAGGAATTAGGCTTTAGATTCTGGCCTATAAGAATTTATTAATGGTTTGCTCTCTTATGGTTAAGGATCTGGTTAATAAGGGGTACGACTCGCTATAAGCACGATACAGAGAAGTCTAAGATAACTTAGATCGATTAGCTAAGAAGTAAGATAATTTAGGGTAGTAAATCCAGAGCTTTATTAAGGCAGGTAACGCTAAAGGCGTCGGAATAAGACTAGGGAGCTATAGGCCGGGCATAGGGTCCTTAATAAAGAGAATTATTAGTATCGTCAACTATTTAGTCTAGTCATCGGTAAGCAAGTAAGCTAGCGGGCGGACTTAAAAATAAGCTTAAGACGAGGAGGAGTTAGGGGGGGCCGCCGATAAACGGTTAAGACTAGTCCAGGATATTATAGAAGAAGGTTATATATAGTTACCACCTTATAAGAGACGATATTAATAGATAAAGACTATAATATATGCTAGAGCACTGATTTTATAATCCCGGTCTCGGTTCTGTATTATTTACAACTTATATATATATTAGCCGACTACCTTTTAGTTCCTAGGAGATATAAACCAGGCTCCTCCTAAGTTCGAGACAAGATAGCTTCGGAGGTGGTTAGCCCTAGCTACTTAGGTAACTGTATAGAGATAAAATGGAGATAAATATATAAGCCTATATATAGGTCTATATCACCGGTAAGATTAAAATCAATTCTTCGTCCTAAAGCAAACCTAAGTTAGACCACGTGATAATAATCTAATAGTATAATATACTAAGTCGAAATCAAGGCATGCCATAATATTCTTAACGAGGTAGTCGAGAATACTTTTATATAGATAAGAACCGGATTACTAGTAGGAGCTAATAAATAATAAAGACACGTGTTAGAAGGACGCCGGTATTCAGTCAATAGGAGTCCTATACTGCGTAAAACTTATCCTATATACGTTCCTATTCTTCGATACTATAGCTATTAACCACTTCTTCTCGAATAGCGAAGGCAACCTCTAGTCCACGAAGATCAGCAACGTTCACCTTAGCTTCCCTCCACTTAATAGTATAAGTCACCTAGCCCTGGGTATTCTATCGTATATCCGATATTCGCTTAATATCCTAATACGTAGTGGGTGAATATATAACTCCTAGAGCCCTATTTAAGGCCTTTTTATTTCTCCTCTTACTTAACTTTTAGTAGCGCCTATTATACGTGTTCTGTATTAGGAATTTATTCGGAGTAGTATCACTTAATACTAGAGTTAGGGCGGAAGATAAAAAAGCCGAGATAGAGGATATAGTATCGTTAGCGGACCTTCTGGATAAGGCCTGATCCTGCTACGGAACCGACTAAACGGTTATACCGCCGTGCGTTAAATATATCCGCGAAAGAGTTAATAACTCCGGCTAAGGTATATCGGTGCGTTATTGCTTATAGAGGATACTATTCCGTCTTAAGTCACACTCCCTAAGTCGACTAGAGTTAGGTATATATAAAGCGATAATTGGAAGCCCGATACCTAACGACTTATTAGTAAAACTTTAGCAAAAAGAGGGATTCTACTAGAGGAATTACTATAGAAAGATAGGCCTCTTACTATCTCGATACTAATCTTAGGAAGATAGAAGCACGGGGCCTTATATTAGTATAGAGCTCTCGTAACGCACGAGCCGTCGGCTAGGAGTAGGGTGTTTAACGATATAACGAGAATAGTCTATAGATAGTGTATAATAAGATTCTTGCTAGAACTACGTAGCGTAGACTAGGAAGTAGGATAGTAATTATAACTTATTAGTTCCTAAGATCTGATAGAGAGCTTTACCGTCTATCCCCTCTCCCGCGGATTATATAGAGAGCTTAATCCTTGTCTATATAAGCGGTTAGCGCCCCTTTTTCGTTTTCTCTATCCCTCCTACAAGACTATCCACGTTACCTTATAAGCCGCTACTAGCCCCCCCGCACCCCTTTTTCCCGAGCTATATAATTTATTAGTGTAGTCTTATAAACGATTCTAGTGGCCGAATTAAGCCCTAAAGAGTGGTTTAGGGGATATTAGCCCGTCCTACGCTATAGGTAGCAGGTGAAGATAATAAGATTCGCGCTAATAAGGCCTCGATCTGCTCTAATATAGGGGTGAGTTAACGCTAGGAAGCCTCCCTACTACCTTAAGACCTATAGATATATATTCCGTCACGCCTCGATATATATCTTAGATATCCTGGTGGCGTGCTTTATTGGCCTTACTAATATAGTCGAGAACCCCTCGCCTATTTATTTCCGTAGCCTTATTACGCTATTAATAGCTTTTGCTCACGTAGCTAGGGCTAACACGGACTTAAGCCGTCCCTAAGGTAGTGCCCGGAGCAGGACTTTAGGAAATCAGCCCTTAGCGTTAGCCTATAGCTTAGGAGGCATAGCTATAACTGGCTCGGAGAGGTAGGTATTCTGCGTAGCTTCGAACGCCGCTATTAGCTTCGAAGCTAATCGGCCCTTTCTATAGTAATCAACTTATAGATAATAACGTCCCGTAGGGGCTATCACCGATAGTGGCCACCCTAATAATAAAAGAAAGCGTGAGCCGAGTGAATAGCGGTCGAAGACGTTAGTCCTATCTAGGCTTAGGCGCTAGCGTGCCGATAGAAGCTGAATTTTCCTCCGCTTATCCTTTTGCCCCGTAGGAGGTGGTGGACGATATAGCAGCTAAAGGCCCCGGCCTTATTCTATCGCCGGGCTCTCTACTCGGCTGAATATAGGACTAGTTATATCTTAGCCTAATATTCCGAGCCCGGCCGTTATTACGCTACGTACCCCTAGCCACTAGTATTAGGCTAATTGGCTTGGCTTTGATTAGGCGTTAAGGGAGTCGTAACGTAGGTATACTCCGATAATAAGATATATCAGCTCGAACAGACCACCTAGTAATTTACTAACGTTATTCCCCGAAGCATTATCTAGCTATGCCTTATAACTAGATCGACCTTTCCTAATAGGCCATAACCAATAATATCCTAATAGTGACTACCTTATAGAGCGGTAATACTCCTTAAGAAGGCTAGGGTATCGGGGTATCGGTATTTCGTAGTCTTAGCCAGTGTCGGGCGATCGTGGTGGAGGAAAAGGACGTGCTAGATCTTATCGCCGGGCGAGCACGAATGCTTTCACGCAGGATGCATTAGCGAATGAATTAAGGTTAAAAAGCAGAACCAGCTTATAGCGCGATTCAGGTGGCGTATCATCTTACACACGTAGGCGAAGGCAACGCCGCGGTATTAAGGCTGTCAAGTTGAGGTGGCGATACGCATCGGTCATCTCGTATCAAGGGGTATTATACCGTATCGCCAACATACTTACGGCATTTCTTCGATTGGTTGAACGAAATTGCGATACGTTAGGCGGCCACTAAGAAAAAGGGGGTGATTCAGCTATGCAGGCAGGAGAAAAACCCAAGTATAGAGCAGAGGAGAAGGACCAAGATAAGGTGTCGCGAGATACATCGACGTGCACTCCTCGGTACATTGATCTATGTGTGCACGGACCCTATATCTGCACGTGACGTTGGATTTAGAGGAATCAGAAAGCGGCTCCCGTGGCAGCGGCACACGCATTCCGTAATTATCGTGACATTTCGTCACTACCTCACAAAGAAGCTGCGCTGCGGTCTTACCTTCGCTATCATCAACGTCAATCTGAAAGCGTCAGCACCACCTTTTCCCTTGCATCCCTTGCAGTTAAGAGCGTCATTCGCTCCTGGCATCTCCAAGATATCTTTTGCTTCTGTTTCTATTTGTCTCTTACTTAGACTACCGAAACAGACAGATTTCACTTGAGAGACGCCCCCAGAACCCATGGCGCAATGTCTGCGCAAGGTCCAAGCTCCCAGCTCCAATCTGGGCCGACCACCTCTATCGCACAACTAAATCCCAACTTGGCGGACACTGCTTCTCGGCTTATTCGCGGCGTCATAACCATTACCTGGCCCTACAGCTCCTACCGCAATGTTGCTGCTTTCGTCCTTGCCGAGTCCGACTTTAGGCTGCGACGCGACAAGGGCCAAGTTCGGGTCGAATTCAGCGGCCCGGCCGCGAAGGCTGTGGCGGACGCCGACTTGAATAGTGGCGATGAGATTACACTGAGTCTCAAAGGCGTCGAATGGGCCGACAAGGATCCCAGAGCGCCCTTGTCGGGCGAGCCCCTCGACTGGCAGCTGAAGTTCCATAACAAGCTACTGCTGCAAGCAGTATGTGCCCCCCTGACACACGACACTGTTCCCTATGTTGACTCCTCGTGGCTAATATTTCATGTAGGTGAAGCTGGACTCGGGGGAGACGAAACTCATAGACGTCGACATCACCGACACCGACACCGACATCAACGGCTGCGAACCGCCAGCGCTCCCAGATCCCGATCCCACACCTGCGCCCCCTACATCATTTCTCGACCCCAAGGATACCTCGCCCTTGCCCGAAACTGTCCCTGCTATAGATGGGGTCTTCTCGCCTGTTGGGCTCACGCCGGCCAAGAGACCAGCCGACAGCAATCGCAATCTTGCAGAACCGTCAGAGTTCGCTTCACCTGCTTTGTTGAAAAGAGCGCGCGTGTCCTACGGCTCCCTATTTGAAGGTGGTCTGGATATATTTGAAGAGGAAACGGCGCCTACGGGTAGAGAAAGAAAGCGTCCACGCTTCAGCACGTCCTGGAGGTATACGAGCCGGTCACCGAGTCCCAGCCCCGACAGACCGTCCACCCGCGATGGTGGAGGTGCCGTATCGATGGTCGATGGCGGCTGCCAGACCGATAAACTCGATTTCACGCCCCCCAGACAGGTGGAAGTAGCTGCCGAGTCCCGAATTCCTCACCCTGCAGTCTTCGATACACCAAGCAAGCAGCCATCAAGCGCCAACCATGCTTTTGCGTCTCAGAATGCCATGTCGCCATTCGCTTCTAACGCGTTTAATGGGGAAGCCCCGAAGGAGGCGCCGGTCGAGTCCGCAGATCAGAAACAAGCGCCGTTCGAGAGCGTGTCATTGACGGGTCAGCAATCTCGAAACGAACAGAATATACAGGAAGGACGGCGACACACGATATTCGTTGACCTCATCGCCGAACCTCGACAGCCTTCTTGGCCCGGGACTTCGATTCCATCTGCGGACTCCAATATTTCCGCAGAAATCGGGCCCGGCGAGACACCAACCAGCTCACCCCACGAAGATGGCCATTCGCACATGGAAGAACAGGGCATTACCGGGCACTTGGATGGTCAATCAATCGCCAGCGAACACGACGACGGCGATTCCCAACCAGCCGACTCCGCACTTGAAGGTGACGAAATCCCCGAGGACCGGGACGGCCCGGAAGAAAATTTCGGTTCTCGGACATATGCGGAGAAGCGTTTCCTGACGGGGGACATCAATCAGACTGTCTCCGGCGATGGGGAGCGCGCGACGACTGGATACGGCGAAACCGACACCTTCGTGGAAGATGCCAGACGCGACGCTGGCGGAGATTACGATATCACCCACTACTCTAACCTGAGCAATGTCCAGGACGACGACGATGGCTCCGACGTGGAGAGTGATTACAGCCAACAGGATGGGGGGCATATTTTCGACCCTTATGGCCGGGGTAACGAAGAAGATCAGATCGACGAAGACGCGGAGCAGCAATTTGGGGAAGAATATGGGGAAGAATACGGGGAAGAATACGGGGAAGAATACGAAGAGGACGAGGGTGGCTATGGGGAATACGAGAGCTATTCCGACGAAGAGAGCGAGGAGGAAGATGACACGGCCGCTGCTAAGCCTGCACCCGCAACCAGGGGACCTCCACAGGTCATCAGTCTCTTGTCGGATTCGGAGGATGAAGACGAAGAGCCCCCGCCCCCAAGGGTGGCCGCACAATCCAAGGGCCCCCAGTTTTCCCAGTTTGACGGTTCCGTCGACAACATCCGACAGTCCGTGGCCGAAAAGGCAGGGGAGTATGAGGGGACCGATGAGAGTGAGGTATCCGAAGTGGATGAAGCGGATGAGGAGGAAGAATCAGAAGTAGAGGTGGCGAGTGACAGCGAAGGGGCGTTGCAGGCTGAGGAGTTTGAGGAGCAAGAAGCAGTCGACGAGCAAGAAGTTGCCCAAGACCAAAAGGTAGACGTGAGCGAGGTTGTAGAAGAAGACGTCGGCTCTGATGCCAAACCGGACGGACCTGCGGATGCCATCTCGGGCGCTTCGATTGAGAGGACCAGGCAAGGGAGCAGCGAAAAAGCGAACACAAGTTCGCCGCCAGCTCAACAACGAGAACCAAGCCGGCACCCAGAGATCATAGAATCCCGCACCAGCAAAAGTCCACCGCAACAGGATGATGACCTCGAAATGATGAGTCCGATTCCACCTTTGCGAGCTCTGGAGTTGATCCGAGAGGAAGAGCGTCTCGAGGTGGTATCGACCGCTAGTGCACCAGCAACGGAACCTGATATCTTGATGGGACAGTCCGGCCATGGTCACGCAGGTCATCACACAGAAGGCATGGCGACGGTTTCTGTGGTGGAGCAGGTCTCCGAGGTCTCTGTGGTCTCTGTCGAGGAGATTAGCATGGCTGCCGAGGCCTTGGGATCCTCGGAAGTTGACGAAATGGAAGCTATTGACGCGCAGCTGCTTGAGGAAAGCGACGGACTCCATGGCAGGAACATGCCTGGCATTCAGATGCAAGAAGAGGAGGCGGTGCAGGAGGATATTGAAATGAAAGATGCCGACGAAAGCGACAATGCCGAGAACAAAGACAACTCTTTCCAGGACCATGCCACGCCGCCACCATCCCAGCCTAAGCAACCTTCAGCAACGAGCAATAGCACAGACGAGTCGGGACGGGAAGCCGGGGGGAAGGACCAAACGGAGCAAACGGAGCAAATTGGCCAAGAGGACGACAAGGCACAGGCACAATTACCGACTCCTGTCGCCACCCAGCAAGTACAAGAAGGGACGGCCTCACAAGGCGAAACCGACGTCGATTTGCAAAAGTCCAAAGCCACACCAGACCAACCCCCGAAGAGTTACGAGACCAAGACCCCTCAACGAGATACCGATCAGCACGGGAACACTCCCGGTTCGCAACGTGAGCTACCCACGTTCCGCGAGTCATCACCGCCACTGTCAGAAGCGACGACTTCGTTCTCCTGTGATGACCGAAGCGTTGATCAAACACAAACAACACCCGCAGCTAAATCTCGCTCGACAAGAAAGCGAGGCCAGGACCAAGGCCGAACCGGATCGAAGGAACTGGATCCCAGTGTCCAATTGGCGCGGGCGTCCATCGCATCCAGACGACCGACGCTTGCGCCGGACCAGACCCCCTCGGACAACGTTCGAATCACGCGCGCGGCATCACACAATCACCACAGGAGCCTGTCTCCGGACCTAGACGAGGATACGAGCGTGCAGCTAGCCAAAGAAGCCCTCAAGTCACCTTCGCGCGCGAGGCGGGGGAAGCCCTCCGAGGAGAACTCGAACTCGCCAACCACCACCACCTCGATCAAGACACAGCTGGGGAAGGCGATGCGGGCGGACGTGCCCGACTGCATCACGCTGCGGATGCTGCGGCACAACCTGTCGAGGACGGTGGACGTCATGGGCATCGTGACGCTGGAGCCCCCGGAGCCGGCGCGCGCCAGGGGAAGCCCGCGGGGGGTGATGCTGGCGTTCAACGTCACGGACCACTCGGTGGCGCCGGCGCAGGTGGTGCTGGTGAACATCTTCCGGGCGCACAAGACGGCGCTGCCGATCGTGCGCACGGGCGACGCGGTGCTCCTGCGGCAGTTCACGGTGGCGGCGATGCACGGGCGGGGCTTCGGGCTGCGGGCCAACGACGGGTCCAGCTGGGCCGTGTTCGAGGGCGGGGTGGAGGGAGAGGAGATGCCGCCGCAGATCAGGGGCCCGCCGGTGGAGCTGTCCAAGGGGGAGAAGACGTTCGGGGGGTTGCTGAGGACGTGGTATGAGAGTCTGGACGAGGCGAGCAGGGCTAAGCTGCAGAGGATCAGTGAGAGGGTTCAGGGGACGACGGGAACGGGGACGGGAACGGCAGAGGAAGAAAGGGCACGATGTTGATATTATGGTATGGACGGACGACGGCATTCCTACAGCCTGGCCATTCAGTTTAAGTGGTTCTGGTTCCATGTAGTGCTACCAGCTTTGTTTGGGTATGTGGCTGAATACTTGCCCGTGGACATATGATACAACGTACACACCGAGGCGTCAACAATGTCTCTTTTTTTTTCTTTTTTTTTTTCCTTTCCCTTCTTTTCTCGACCCCTCCATCCCAGCAGACGATTGTGCCAAGACGTGGAGACCCCATGGAGACGGGAAGGGACCGGAAACACTCGGAGAGCTTTGACGAGAAAGAAAAGGGAAAGGGGGGTCCTAATATCCTGCGCGTTTCCTGCGCATATCCTAGTCCCTTGTCCGCATGGATGGATGGTGATGATCTACGAAGGGACAAGGTGTGAGTGAATAGGTAGGTAGAGGTCAAATTTCTCGGACGAGGCCGGAGCCCCGAGGCGTAAAATATCGGAGTAGGGTCTACCTTAGGCCTGGGGGAATCTAGTACTCCGAATTTCTTTTGTACGAAGTAAAACAACACTGCTGCGATATTGATGTTGTCGATGGGATGAAGAAGACTACGTTACGTTGTTATATGTACGATATGCAAGGGGCGCGATGAAGCCAAAGAGCCTGCCCCTAGGTTTTACTCCTCCCCAGAGTCGCGTGTTATCCCTCTTCCTCCCCGGATTATACGACGACCACCACGGTTCTGGCCACTTAGCCTTGCCAAATGACTCTCGGTGCTCTCTGTTGTGTGTGACTAAAATCACTAAATAGGAGGCGACGGTGGAGGCTCCAACTTGGCGGGAAATTTGTTGATCCCCCAGGGGCCCAGCCCCATTTCTTCTACGAAGAATGGAACCGCAAGTGGGTTCGCTCCTTTCCTCCGCGGATCCGAGACTATGGACACAGAACGTTGGAGGGCCGGAGCAGATCAGAATGAGACGAATATTAAACGGAACGGTTTGTGACAGGGGAGGTTCAGGCTCACTGCACGTGTACGTGTAGAGACAGGACAGTAAGGTGAGCGTACGCGTGTGCATGGGCATGTGTGGGTTATACGGGGGAGGGACCAATGCGGGCTCTTGGATTTGCAAACTTGGGTCTCTAGTGTACGTGTAGCTCGGTGTGTCCACGGGGGTGAGGTAGGACGGTCCTGTTGATGATGGCCATTGGCGGTGGAGTATCCGTATATGGAGAAACTCATGCCAGGGGAAATGAAACCTCTGGAAGCTAATAAGGAACCCATCCAGATGGACCATGGGGCGGGACCCAGCTGGCCGTTTCTTTCAATGTCGATCAAGGTTAGTTCGACGACCATCTTGAGAAGACAAGACAAAAAGTTTGAAACCTTGGACTCGTCCTCCCCAAACCCTGGTGCCATGTCCCTTGTCATGTGTCATGTACGTGCAGTATCGTCTGCGAGCTAATACATAGCGTTAATCAAGGTACGGTACGTTATAAGTAGTATGTTCTGAGGTACCGGGGGTTGTAGTGTAAGGTACTGAGCCGAAGCCTCGCACTCCATCCACTACGTACGAGGCTGAAACGGAGCCAGTGAGGAACAAGGGATCGAGGAGATCGAACCAGAAAAAGAAAAAGAAAAAGCTCTTGCTTGGGAGACCACGAGGCGGGGTCAATCCCCGCACGCGGTTCGACCGTCGCCCAGCATAGGTTAGGTACCTTGGCACATAGGGGGTTCATGGAAATCATGGCCTTCCTCGCTCAGTACAAGTTACCTCCCGCAAAGTAGTAATCAGAGCGGCATAGAGCCGCGGCATTGGTCATTTCTGGACGCCAAGACCGGCTGACCTCGGTCCAGACTTTTGGTCGACTTGCCGGGCGAACGGAGATGGGCCGAAAGTGGAAATCCACACGAACGAAGTACATTCTGCTTTTCTTTCTTCTCTTTTCTGCGCCCATCTCGGTTCCTCCCCTTCGATTTTGGCACCCTGGTCTTCGAAAGCGATTGGCGTTATGACGATGATATTATAGAGACGCCATATAGCCACTGGGCATGTTTGTTTCACTGGCCTTCTGAGGATTGACTTGAACAAGACAGGTCAAAGCAAGACCAAAATAGCGTGCCATTGAAAGATTGAAATTGAGCTCATAATTTCGCACAAGGTAGGTAGATGAAACTCCACACCGGGAGGTCTTCGTTCCTACGGAGTAATTTTGGAATAATGCAAGGGAGTCAGCGGCCTGCTGATAACCGCTGTCCTCTTTCCTTTTGAGGCCAACCAGCAGATTTGTGACATGTAAGAGAGTATGTATGCAAGGACGGTTCGTGGCTTGGAAGACACTGACTGCCATTTTATCGTTGCGTTGTACTCTATGAGCTGCAGCTTGTTCGAGAATTTCTTCCGCCGAAATTGCTTCTGAACCGTTAGACAGTCAGGTGACCGACCTCGACCGAAAACCAGGAGACATGGGGAATTGGTCCGCGTCCCCCTTTCTCGGTGATGCCTTTGCATGTTAGGACTTCAGGACACATGACGAACAACCAGACCCCTGTTGCGTCCTCATGGACCTGCTGACTGGTCGCTGTGGGTCCTTCACCTTGGCAGAGAACGATCTTTTATTGGCCTGTGTCGCGGTGAAGGGGAGATACTGCTCCGTCTCCGTACCGTTCAGGCGGCCTTTTCAGGGTTTACGCTGTAATTACATACTGTTTACTGCCAACTTGCCGTGTAAAAATGTACGAATACTTCGTACCAAGGTGAATAAACACGCCAAGGGATCAAGGCAAGGAAGGGCCGCTCCCGTTCTACGAAGTAACGGCATCTTCCCTTGTTTCCTGTCCCGTCTGCGTTGTTTTCTGGTCGCGAATAAGGTACGTTGTAGACATATAGATACCATGTGACATCAAAGAGGAAGGCATCCAGCAATTCAAGCCATTCTATTAAGATCCTTCGTCATAATTACTCCGTACTTGCATTGGATGCAGAGTGTCGTTGTTGAATTGACCATTGTTCAGCTACTCGTATGTATATACATTGTACGTATATACCTTGACAGCCCATAAGACCCGTCAGATGCCCACAGCCACCTTATCAATGTGATAAACTATATTATATTATTATTAGATTTATACGGTACCTCGATCCTATATATCCATACTTATTTTCCCTTCTTTTTCCTAATAGGTAGATATTCCCGTGAAGTACGACGAACTTCACTTCCATAAATACACACGTAATTCCGCGTACCTTATTTATATTCTGACAAGAACCGATCCCGATGCCTTGCATGAGCACATATCCACTCCATTCGTACCTTAGGTAATTAGCAGTACTTCGTACTGGTACATGTACATGTATAACCCCATCATTATCCCTGAACCGGACGGACCTCCGGCCTCGAACTCGGGCTCTTATACCCACCGCCGCCCCTCTCTCTCCGTCTACCTAACCCCGCCTGACTCGCGAGACGCAACTTGATTGGTCGTTGAACAGGGCCGGAGTAGTTTTAGGATCTGTGTGCCACTTGGCGGACTAATTAATTAGAAAGAAAAGCGTTGTTGACCTTGAAGATACATAATAAATACATAGTGCGAGAGGGCTTGTCGGCAGACAAAAGCGCCCCCTCGTGACATGGATAGACGGATGTCTGTGTTTCGCATATTTTCCCATGAAATGACATTTTTTCTTCTTCTTTTTTTCTTCTTTTTTTCTTCTTTTTTTCTTCTTTTTTCCCCCTTCATGCATTGTCACTTTGACAACTCCGGTTCATTATTCGTTGGTCCTTGTGTTCTTGTGGGAAACTCGACCTTGTCACGAGGGCCAAGCTTACGTTGTAAAGCGGCATGTGAAAACGGCACCTTTCTCAGTTCTGGCTGCCGTTCCCTTCCCACTCTTACTCTTGGCTGCTTTGCTTTGAGTTGTTTAAAGACTTACTTACCTGTTCTGTAAAACTTCCACCCTCATTCGTGCACCCCCTGCTCCACTCGATACACCCCCTATTCTTCCGTTGTCCTGCGTCGTCACTCACCGATGACCACTGATGGACATTGTGGGGAGACCGACGTCAGACCTCGCTGAGTGACCAGGGGGTCAAAGGAGGGCTGGATAACCCCTTGTGGGTAATGAGCCTCCTCGAAACCACTCCAGTCACGCATTCGTATTTCTGAGATTGATGGAAGGAAGAATCCATCAGACATTAAAATACTGGACACAAGTATCAAAATGTGGTGTTAAGGCGAATATATTCGTGAGTACCGGTAACGGTACCGGTAACGGTAACGGTAACGGTAACGGTAACGGTAACAGGCGGCGGAGATGACCCCGTGCCCGTGGCTGCAGACCGAATGCGATGAAAATGCGACCGGACCTTCATTTTGACCAGTCACAGTTACTAGCCCTGACTAATAAACATGGGCTTGTCATGACTGGAAATATGGCATGGACTTAACACGGGTTTGCGAATGGTCTTTTCTGAGTACACCTAGTGTATTTACTGAAATTCTTTAAGCATACTGATAGGCTGCGCCGTATTAGGTATTTCGTTTCTCAAGCCCCATATATTGCAAATTACTCATTTGCAATTCGCATATTATAATCACTTTCGTACAATCTTCAGTACACTACTCGCGGCAGATTGTGTGAGTTCTTGTGTGAATCTCAATCCATCCAGGTCCACGTTCAAGTTCGCGTCCAATCCGCTATATCCACTCACATGCGTGTCAGGGACGCACAGAACGGCTTGTCTCCTTCTTTCGCCGCCGCCTCCGTGATGGCCTCCTTCTCCAGAGTCCAAGGGGCCCACCCCCCCCGGGCGATTTGACCCCATTCATCCACCCTGGCTAACCCCTGCTAGCCCTTTCTTGACCCCCGCTGGCCCGTGCCAATGCCATACGAGTTCGTCCGCCCGTCCCCAGTCTGGGAAGAGATAGCGTCACACCCTCCAAAGGCGTTCTCTATCATTCGGTACTTACGAATAGGTACCTTACATGCAAGCTAAATGGCGTCAGCTCCACGAGACGGAGTCTGCGGACTAGATAGGGCAGGTATCTGTAGGCAATGCAAAAGTTGGGTCAACGGGGTCGAGGAATATAACACTTGGTGACTCCCCCACATTCCCCAGGCACACAAGGGACCCTCTACTCAATTCTTTTCCATCCCCATACCGTACTATACCATTCATACCATACATACCATACTTTCGCAGTCTGGCACATTTGCATCCTCTTCTGCATATTTGGGGTCAGGTCAGACAAGTGAAGGGATACCAGAAGAAGCAGCTCTCCCTTCTCATCCATCAGTCATCCATCCTTCCTGAGTATACGGATAGACAGGCTCAACGACACCCTACCTCACCCTCAACCTTCACCTCAACTTGGGACCAGGCGAACAGCGAGCATTTCACCGACAACATAATTTGGCGACATCCTCTCGGTTAGATTGAGACACGTCCAATGCCCACGCCACCGACCTCGCTCTCCTGTTTGCGTCTGTTGTCATCTGAGACACAAGAGTGGATGCCGCTCATACCGTAAAGAAAAATAGAACGGCCTTGACGTATTCGACGAGTTGTAGTGGTTCTCTCCACACCAAAAGCATCCCACCAGTCCCTCCGTTGCCCTGTGTCCCCATCGAACACAGCACATCGCAGTACCCAGCTACAAGCTAGAAATCATGAACGCCGCCACCAACAGCATGTCACCGAGTTCGAATTCGGAGCTTGACCTGAACATGGATCTCGACCTACATCTCGACTCCTCTACCGATGCGTCGGCGCTGCAGGCTGTTGCCGACAGCCTCGCCGCCGGCGACGACAGCATCACGTCTTCCGACACCACCGATGTACCCGCCGCCACCACCGCAGCCATTACTACAGCCACCACTACTAGCACCACTACTAGCACCGACCCACCAGTCGCCTTGAAGCCCCGGACCGACAGCTCGGCCTCACAAAGCAGCACGGACGACGGCAGGGAACAATCCGAGAGCAACAAGACCGCCAACGCGAAAGGCAACAACGCTTCCTCCAACTCAACGACCGCCCAGCAGCAAAGAGAATCGCAACCACAGAAAGCGAACGGCAAGAAGCGCCCTGCGCCCGCATCCAGCACGGGAAAGCCGGATGACAGCAACGGCCCCCCGTCCAAGGTCATGAAACGGCGGGCGGCCCGGGCTTGCGTGAGCTGCCGGGCACGAAAGGTGCGGTGCGATGTGGTCGAGGGCGCGCCGTGCGGGAACTGCCGGTGGGATAACGTCCAATGCGTTGTGCAAGAGAGTCGGCGAAGGAAGTACGTTGCTTCTCAACCTTGTCTTGATTTTCTTCGCTGCCGTTCGTTACGCGCAAGGGGCTGACCGAGTGTTGCGCCATGTACAGAAAAGCACTGTTGACGGCGAGCACTGCCTCCGTTTCTGGATCCGAGGCGCAACAGCACGAACTACGCGCCAAGGGTACTGGTGTGGATGGAGGTAGCAATCCAGTGCCTATCCAGAGCAGCGCAGATCTTCTGCGTCCTGCCCAGGGTCCTGCTGTCCCGTCCGTGGCTGCAAGTGGCAGCGAGCCCTTCGAGCCAGATGGGACATTTGATAGCCATGTGCCTCATTTACTCTGTAAGTGCATTATTTTCTCTTTTATTTTCTCTGCTTCTCTCCGACACATCCAAAAGAAATTCCTTTCTTTTTCCCCCCCCTTTTACTACAGTCTACACTACAGTCTACACCATCATCTGCACATATGTACTCTCCCAATTTCTTTCCCAACGCGCTCGAGCAGTTAGTTTCTGGTCCATCGGAAACAATCACATCATTCGCAGAACGCCACAATTCAAAAAATAGCCGAGCGTTACCCCCCAGTGCCGTTTATTTCGGCCTCGGCTCGTTTTCTGGTGCCGCAAGCTTCTCCAAATTTGATGAAATTTTGAACCCCTCGTCGCCGAATGAGGCTCATTCGCTACCCTTCACTGTTTTGGTGCGCTTTGTGGTGCCCCTTGTGGGGAAAAGTTGGGGGAGGAAAAGGAGGGGTACGAGTACGTACCTCTGAGCACGGAGTTACCCACTTTGCCCAGACTTCCAAAGTCGTGCATCCTCACCGGATCGGTGTGGAACACTGGCACATGGGTGTAGCTCAGTGCCTGTATTTCATTCCACTTTCACATGTGAACAGCAAGGCGCAATCAACTCCTTGCTACCCCCCCCCCCCTCCACACGACCCCTCCTCATGCTACAGCTTGTCGCGTGTCACATCTTCACCCCCTCGTCATTTCTTGTGTTTTGAAAACGAAGCGCATGTGACTGACCACGACCACCACCTGCAGACCAGCGATCTGGATACGGACAGGACGCCTCCTTTTTGTACAAGCTGCAGGCTGCTGCCTCTACCTCCCCCGACTCGAACACTCGTCGCCTGCTCGCCAACCTATTCGCACAGGCCCAGTCCCAGGCCCAGGCTCAGGCTCAGGCTCAGGCTCAGGCTCAGGCTCAGGCCACCGCCCCCGGCATCAATGCCACTTCGAGCTCGCCCGCCGTCCCCGCGTCCGTCTCGGCGGCGTCGACCTCTTTCGGCAACCTACGCACCACCCAGTTTCTCGCTTCTCTCGAAGACCCGGATCTGCACGCTCACGCTCAGCTGCCCGCCTTCGTCAGGCCTCTTCCCGCGCGCATCGCTTCGGAAGACGTCAAGTTCCTCCACGTCAAGGGCGCGCTGTCGCTCCCGGCTCTGCCGCTTCAGAACGCCCTCATCCAGGCCTATATCGAATATGTCCATCCGTTCATGCCCCTCATTGACCTGTCCGAGTTCCTCTCGACCGTCAACTCCCGCGATGGTCTGTGTGGACAGGTCAGCCTTTTCCTCTACCAGGCTGTCATGTTTGCTGCCACCGCCTTTGTCGATATGAAATCACTCCGCGATGCTGGCTACTCTACCCGCAAGATGGCCAGGAGGGCCTTCTTCCAGAAGACGAGGGTAAGTCGACCGTTTTCCCGAGTTTCGTTTCCCCATTTGGTACCGCACCTCCCACAGGCAGTGGGCTATCTGTGGGGGGGGGGGGGGTGAGAAAAAAAAAGGGGGAAAGGCGGGGGTGGATCAACTACTTCTTGGCGTTCATGATATTCACATGTCAATTGCTCTAGTTACTGTACGATTTCGACTACGAGTCCGACCGCCTCGTCCTCGTTCAGGCACTCCTCCTGATGACGTACTGGTACGAGACGCCCGATGATCAGAAGGACACCTGGCATTGGATGGGCGTCGCCATCTCCCTGGCCCACACCATCGGCCTCCACCGCAATCCGGCCAGCACGAGCATGACCCCCCGAAAGCAAAAGCTGTGGAAGCGCATCTGGTGGTCCTGCTTCATGCGCGACCGCCTCGTCGCCCTGGGCATGCGCCGACCAACCCGCATCAAGGATGAAGACTACGACGTACCTGCGCTGACCGAGGCCGACTTCGAGATGGAGATGCTCCCCGAAGACAACACGATCGTGCCTCCCGCGTGCACCCTGGTCCGCGATCTCTCCATGCAGCAGGAGCTCGCCACCATGTGCGTGGCCAAGGCCAAGCTGTGCATCTGCATCAGCAGCATGCTCAAGGCGCAATACTCGGTCCTTGTCCGGGACAAGGTGCGGCCGGACAACACGGTCAACAGCACCATGATGCTCTTCCCCAACAAGAAGCTCGACAACTTCGAGTGCGTGACCACGGTCGATCTCGAGCTGATGGACTGGGCCGAAACCCTTCCCCCCATTTGTCAGTACAGGCCCCTGACGCCGCTTGACGTCAAGAATGGGAGGTCCACGCTCGCCGTCCAACGCACGCTCCTGCACATGGTCTACTACACCACCGTCTCGGCCCTGCACCGCCCTCTCTTCCTCCCGTCGTCTCCTCACCAGGCCCCGACGACATCGCGTCAAGTCCAGGAGATGTCGCGGCTGAGAGTCCGGGATGCCGCCATGCACATCACCCGCATGGCGTCCGAGCTCCACCAGCTACGGCTGGAGAGGTACCTCCCCACCACCGGCGTCACCGTCATCCTGCCCGCCATGATCATCCACCTCCTCGAGATGAAGAACCCGGTCGCGCAGTCCCGCGACCGCGCCACGCGTGGGTTCCGGCAGTGCATGCGCGTCATGCAGAAGCTCCGCGAGATCTACGCCGCCGCCGACTACGCGACCGGCTTCCTCGAGGCCGCCCTGAACAAGGCCGCCATCGACGTCAACAACGCCCCCGCCGTCGCCGTGACCCAGCAGAACCTCAAGTTCGCCGACTCGACCTTCAGCGCGCAGACCCCGCCGCCGGAGAACGCGCCGTACATGACCTCCTCCGAGGCCCTCTTCAACGCGAAGCCCGGCGGCGCGATGCCGCATGCGTCGAGCCATCTGCCCCAGACCATCAACGCTGCTGCTTTGGACCTGTCTGCGACGAACGGTGCGGTGGCGGCGGCGGCGGCAGCGGCAGCGGCAGCGGTGGGTCTCGCGGCAAGCCCGCCCTCGACGGACGGGGACTTCGAGTCGGCGATGGGCGGCCCGACGCCTAGCGCCAGCGGTGGTTCCGACGCGCCCGAGCCGGAGCCGCTGGATATGGATTTCCTGCAGGGCCAGCCGGAGCTCGACTGGAACGCCGTGGCAGGTACCGACTTTGATGTGGACCAGTGGCTGCAGTTCCCGCCTGAGGGCATGAAAAACACGGACGAGGGTCTCATGTCGAACATGTTCAACGACGAGGGGATGCAAGACGCCGCCGCACACTGGGCGACGGGCGGCATGGCCTCCTCCACCGCTCCGCAAGGCTTGGTAGGGGATGGACAGGCCACTCTCGCCATGCCGGCGTGATGGGTTTCTCTTTATTTGTGTTTTCTCATTTTATATTTCCACACTGGGTCTTTGCCCGGGTGTCCGTATCCTTTTTTTTTATTTTTATATACCTGTTCAGTTTTCTTTGATGCGTCTCGGATCGGAACGATGCCAGGATATTTTCCACGGAGTTGGGGCTATAAGGACTCGAAAAAAAAGCTGACGAGGAGGGAAGAGGCTTACGCGCCTCGGGCGTTTTTTTTTTGTCATAATTTGGAACGTATCTGTTGGCTTTTGGAACTCTATAGCATATATCTGGATGTCAAGTTTTATGTCTCATGAGAGAAAAAAGGGGGGAAACCACGGCTCAGCGCCGGCAGTGGAGGCAGGGGTTTTTATGTGAGCATGGGCGTCATAATGCCCCCGGGGATACAAGTAGATGAATGAGATTTGCGCATGGGTTTGAATGTTCCTCGCCAGTCGCTGTCTCTGGCCCTCATTGCGCGTAGTATCCCATCTGTCGGCGTGTCTTGTGTTGTCATCTTCTCATATTTCGCCGACCTGCTTATCCCGAGCTTTACTCGAATGGGGACTGGGCCTATTTTTTAAAGGCCGTGAATCCGGTGTATCGACCGACCAATACCACGAGGTCAGCGTCAGCTTCAAACAAGAGGCGCAGATGACATGCTCTCGGATTATCAAGGCAACTGGTCTGGCCTCTTCTGTTTCGTCGAGGATCTCGGATCTCGGATGTCACAGTCGCAGTCTCAGTAAACGACTCAAAATGGCGACTCTTCCCAAGGAGTAAGGTAGGTGGATATGTAAGTACCCCCGTAGTTGTCAACTCACTGAGGTGGTTGGATGGTCCTCGTCTTTCACACGACACCGATACACCGAGCGATCCCCGAAAGACGACCGGTACGATAATGCCCCTCTCTTCCCCGCTCTTGCTCCATGCTGTACTTCGTAGTTAAATAAATGGACACAGGAGGTTGTCCGAGGCTGTCCGAGGCTGTCCGAGGTCGTCCGAGGTCGTCTGAGGTCGCCTCATGCTTTACAGTTTTGTATGGCGTAATTCAGTTTCAGTGTCCAATTCCCTCGTCGTCCAGCCTTCTGCAAGGACATGCCGTTGGTCTTACCCAGAGAGCTCGGGATTGACGGAGTTCGGGTGGGAAGGCCAGGGAGGGGCAAACTCGCAGGGATTCATTTCATCAATTGTCTTGATGAGACAAAGGCCGTTCGGCGGTTGTGTAAGCGACTTTGACTTGACGCTGTGCCGACGTCGGTGGTCAAGGAACGGGAGCTCCTCGGGGAGGTGGAGAGCGTGGAGGATGGATGCACATTCCCCCGCATGACAGGCCTGGACTACACTGTCCAAGAGCTCAACCTGACATTGTTCTAAGGATAGTGTGCCTCAAGGTGTTAACGACACGTTGGGAACTAGGACTAGGCAAAGCGAGGCAAATGAAAAAGGGGCAAACGGCAATTCATCCAAAGAGAAACCCGTAGGTTACGTATCCGTACAACGTATAACAAAGACGCTCATGCGGGGAGTCGCTACCCAGACACCGGATGCAGGGGAGCGGGGGAGCGGGGTTCTACCACACCACCGAAGCTACACTGCAGTATCCACCTTCAGTGACGGTCTGTTGCATCAGAACATTTTTCAACTCGGCAGCTGCGATGGACGAGGGTACCTGTCTGAGATAGGGATGTACTCAAGTCGGGCGGCCACTTCACGGGGTTCGCACACTAAGGTAAGGTACCTAAGGAGCCATTACATCTTATGTACGATGTACCTACCTACTATCCATCGCATCGACCATGTATTCGGACGCGACAGATGGTGGTAGAAGGGGCCATCGTCACTCCATCGGGACGCTCTTTCTCCAATTCTCCGTTATCTCGTCGACCTAGTCCGACCCATTGGCCTACCTTATGTACCTTGGTTCTGGAGGACCACGGATACCTTACCTTATTAGTCCCTCATACGCGCCAGGTACAACACGCTCCCGCTACATAAAGCCCGTCATCGTCCCTACCATCCCGTCCTCGTTAGTCTGAACTTTGTCTCCTCCTCTCTCCTCCAAGATCATCTCACCTCTGACCTGTACCTCTAACCCTCCCTCCACGCGAGTCCTATTAAAGTCCGAACCTCTCAACTCGCCAACTCCTCCTCCTCCTCCTCCTCTAGCTGCCAACAAGCTAGCAAAAGAGGACACCCCGTTGGCTTCTTTATCAAGTCGTTGAAGCAAAAACCACTCTTATCCTATCAAAATGGTACTGTCCGGCCGCTCCCTCCGTCCCCTTTCCACCCAGGTCTCTCGACGCTTCCATACCTCCACGGCCGCCCGTTCCTTGCGGACCCCCGTCCCTCGAGCCGCCGTTGCGTCCGGTCAACAACCAGCGCTTTTGGACCGCCGTCCTCGGCCTTCCCTGCCCACGTCTGGGCACGGCAGACTGCGCAATTCTGTTCGATGGCTAACCACTCGCGAAAAGGTCAAAGTTCTCGCTGTCCTCTACGACGGTGGCCAGCATGCCAAAGACGTAAGTGGATTCTTTGCGTTGTGTTCGGCGTTGTTTCATGCTTCAAAGTCGCCTGTTATTCTGCTCTCAAAGTCGTCCAAGTCCCCAGAGTGGAAAGAGACGCATGTCCTGTGCCATGGTCCTCGTCTTGAACCCTCTTGGGTGAATTGATGATGAGATGTTACGTCACGCCTTTCAAGGGCTGACGGGCCCTTCCCTCTTCCCAAGAGAAGTCTCTCCCCGTATCGCATAGACCATTGGGCCCGGCCGACCGCACCGTCTAGGTTTATCTTCACCCCAAATAATTGGTGTAAAGATGAAGATTGGACCGGTTGTGGTTGTCGTGAGGTTGTCTGGTTATGCTTGCGGTGGCTTTTGCGGGGCCCCAACAGGGGGGCCTCGGGGGCTCGGGAAATTTCCAAATGCCACACCGGTGCTGGAGATAGGTCGGCATCCCCACCCACCCAACGCCCCGGGCCCCAGTCGCTGCTAGCGACAGTGGCTTGTTGGCTACGTGCGGGGTGCATGTGGGACCGAGCTCTCTCAAAGCACTCTGAACATTTGAGCTTCATTGCCTTTGTGAATGTCTGTCGACTGACATCGGCTTGGGTTGCTTCTAGGTCCCGGAGCTTCTAGGAACCACCGAAAATGAGCTCGGCCTCCGGAAATGGCTCGAGGACCAAGGCCACACCCTTGTGACTACGTCGGATAAAGACGCAGAGGACTCTGTTTTCGACAGAGAACTCGTGGACGCCGAAGTCATCATCACCACACCGTACGTCTCCTCCTTTTTTTCTGTCCCGACGCTCGCTCAGTCTAGTTGAGCCCGGTGAACTGACTGGCTCGGGAACAGCTTCCACCCCGGTTATCTCACCGCCGAGCGATTGGCAAAGGCCAAGAACCTCAAGCTTGCCGTCACCGCCGGCATCGGCTCCGACCACGTCGACCTTAACGCGGCCAACAAGACCAATGGCGGCATCACCGTCGCCGAGGTGACGGGCTCCAATGTTGTTTCCGTCGCCGAGCACGTCGTCATGACCATCCTCCTCCTCGTGCGCAACTACAACCCCGCCCACGAGATGATCGAGCGCGGCGAGTGGGACGTTGCCGCCGCCGCTAAGCAGGAGTACGACCTCGAGGGCAAGGTCGTCGGTACCGTCGCCGTCGGCCGCATCGGCGAGCGTGTCCTCCGTCGCCTCAAGCCTTTCGACTGCAAGGAACTGCTCTACTACGATTACCAGCCTCTGAGCCCCGAGAAGGAGCAGGAGATTGGCTGCCGTCGCGTCGAGAGCCTCGAAGAGATGGTCGCCCAGTGCGACATTGTCACCATCAACTGCCCTCTGCACGAGTCCACATGGGGTCTCTTCAACAAGGATCTGATCTCCAAGATGAAGAAGGGCAGCTACCTCATCAACACGGCTCGCGGCGCCATCGTCGTCAAGGAGGATGTCGCCGAAGCCCTCAAGTCGGGTCACCTCGCCGGCTACGGTGGCGACGTCTGGTACCCCCAGCCCGCCCCCAAGGACCACGTCCTCCGCCACGCCAAGAACCCCTTCGGCGGCGGCAACGCCATGGTTCCTCACATGTCCGGAACCTCTCTCGACGCCCAGAAGCGCTATGCCGACGGTGTCAAGTCCATCCTGACCAGCTACTTCAGCGGCAAGATCGACTACCGCCCCGAGGACCTCATTGTCCACCAGGGTGACTACGCTACCAAGGCGTACGGCCAGCGGAACAAGGCGTAAACTGGGACTAGACAATGGGGATCTAGCATGGAAGAGTGTCGTTTCTTATGTCTGGTCACTCCAAAAGGGTAAAGTAAAGGGTCAAGGGGTTTAGCCGTCTTTTATTGCATCATGATAGTTCACTCGGCAGTTGTTTTCTTTTTTTTTTCTTCTCTTTTTTTTCTCGATTTTACCCATGACATGATGGAACGATCTATTGTAAGCGAAACGGAAATGCAAAGCAAGAGAGCCCAGACGTCGTGACGTCGTGATGATTATCATGCATAAAGTCGTTGCATTTCTAATGTAATTAATAATAGTCTATGAATTGTAGGCCGGCCCGAGTCTTTGTCGAAATAACTCTCCGACTAGTACTTCGTAGCAAGCTGGTTGCGTGTCTTGGGGTTCCTGTCAGAGACGACAATGGGAATACAAAAGCAAAAGCAATCCAGCCTCCCCAACGTCTTCCACGAGACGGGGAGAACGAAGCGAAAGCCAGCACTAGGCAACATGAAGACACCTCCCAACCACTCCAGCCTCAACCGCCCGGCCTTAAACCCCGGCCTCACCTCCGCCAGAACCTCCACCACGGCCTTTCCCGCTCGTTGATACCAGCGCCAAAGTCCCCACCACCGGGAAGCCCCCCCGCCCTCTCGCGCTTCACGACCTGGTCGCGGCCGCGGATGCGCCAAAAATAGACGGGGACGCCGGCAATGACAAAAAGAACGACGGTGACGGTCTGGAGGGGCTGGGCGAAGACGGCGCGCGAGAGGAGGAAGATGGAGACGCAGCAGAAGATGACGGGGGTGGTGATCCAGGTGCGGTAGGGGCGCTCGAGGGCGGGTTCCTTGACGCGGAGGACGATGAGGCCGAGGACGGTGAGGAAGTAGAAGGTGTAGCCGGCAACGCCGTAAAAAGTGATGAGGGTGGCGAACTCGCCGACGGCGACGTAGGCGGCGGTCAGGACGGCGTTGAGGAGGAGGGCGGCGATCGGGGTGTAGAAGAGGCCGGTTTCCGGGTCGGCCAGGAGGCGGCGGGCGAGGGAGGCGGCGCGGCCGCGGGAGCGCTGGAGGGGGAGGCGGGTGGAGAGGGTGGTGGCGGTGGTGGATGTGGGATGGTGGGAGGCGGGAGAGCGGAGGCCGAGGCGGCCGAAGAGGGAGGGGATGTAGCCTTCCTTGCCGGCGACGTAGATGAGGCGGGAGGAGGTGAAGGTGGAGGAGTTCAGGGCGCCGAAGCAGGAAGCGGACACGACGAGGGCGAAGACGAGGGAGCCGACGGGGCCGAAGACCTTGGCGCCGAACATGACGGCTATGGTGTTGGATGCGTAGACGGTGGTGAGGGGCAGGACGAGGAAGTAGGCCACGTTGGCGAGGACGTAGGAGATGATGACGAGAGGCATGGCGGTGTGGATGACGCGGGGGAGGTCCCGCGAGGGATTCCGGAACTCGCCTACCACGTAGTTGGTCTACATAAGTCAGTCCAAGGGTGAAATGGAAAAAGAAAAAAGGAAAAAAAAAAGAAGGGAGAGGAGGAAAAGAGGGGGGCAACAGAACTCACGTTATCCCAACCATCATAAGCCCAGAGACCGGCATATAGAGCAACGGCCCAGGCCGAGAGATCGGTGGACGTATCAGCGAACCAGTCGTTGTTCTTCCAGTCGGTGCTGGCGTCGCCATTAAAAGCATGGCCCGTGATGGCGACGACGACGCCCGTGACGGTAACGGCGATCAGGGCGACAAACTTGAGAAACATAAGCCAGTCGTTGACCTTGGTCCCGACCCTGGTGGAGACGCAGTTGAGGAAGGTGACGAGGATCAGGCCGACCAAGGCGACGGACTTGTTGACCCAGGGGTTAATCTCGCTCGCATCGGCGCCGTAGACGGCACGGACGAGGTACTCGCCCATGATGATGGCGATGATGGCGGCGCTGCCCGGCTTGAGGACGAGGACGGCGACCCAGGTGAAGAGGAAGCCGGCGAGCTCGCCCATGATCTTGGCGAGGTAGACCTGGGGCCCCCCGTTGAGGGGGATGGCGCCGCCGAGCTCGGCGTAGCTGGCGGCGCCGGTCCAGGCGAGGAGGCCGGCGATGACCCAGACGATCAGGGCGGCGCCGGGGGAGCCGACGTTGGCGCTGACCTGGCTGGGGCTGCTGAAGATGCCAGAGCCGATGATGAGGCCGATGATGAGGCTGAGGCCGTTGACGAAGGTGAGGGTCTTGTGTTTCTCGAGCGAGCCGCCGCCCGGGCCGCCGGCGGCGTGGTGGGCGGTCGATGACGAGAGGGGGGCTCCTCCCAGGGGGGCGTACCCTGCCCCCCCGGCGGTGGAGCTCAGGGGGAAGAGGTTGGGGGCGAAGTCGAAGGCGGAGGACACGGAGAAGGAGCGGGAGTGTCCTGGGGGACGGCCTACGCCGCGTGTTGCTGCTGCCGAGGAGGCGGCGGGGTTGGCTTCGTCGAAGGGGTCTTCATTGTCGAAGGAGAGCTTGCGGGAGGAGGAAAGGGAAGGGCGCGAGGAGGGAGCGGCGTGGTCGTCGTTGGAAGTGGTGTCGGGACCGTGAGAGGACGAGGCGAGGGAGGCGAGCTCGAGAGAGTCGCGGGTCTGGGCGAAAGAGGAAGAAGGGTGGTTATAGTATTGGGAAGGCATGGTCAAAGATGGCGCATTCCCTCCCCCCCTTTTCTTCTTTTTCTCTCTTTTTTCTTTTCTTTTCCCAGGCGCAAGTGTATAATTATATCCTTCCAAACAAAGTTTTCCAAATACCGGCGTTATCTCATGTTGCGGGGCATGCAAAATCCCTCCGAACCAGTCGTACTTTGGTCTTGGATGTGCGAGTTGGACTTGAAGCCTCGTAACGTTGATGGAACAAGTTTCGTTCGTAATGACAGGTTCGTGTCGTGTCGTGTCTATGCCGGATTGTTGGAAGAAAGTGAAGAGAAGAAATAAAGTCCCGCCAGATTGTATTAGGAATGTATTATGTTTGAAGTCTAGCAAACGAAGTAGAACAAAGGGGTTGATTGTACGCGAGTATGGGGTTAAGGTATGGAGGTGTCGTGTCAGGAGTTGTTTTATCGAAATCTCTTTGCGGTCAATCGTCACTGGTGCAGGTGCAGCAGTCAATGCCATATGGCAGGAACCTTTGTCCCACACCTCCTGGCGTCCATCCAGGTTGTCCCCCCTGACCCACAAAAGTCAATTGCCCATTGATCGGATTAATTTCGGATTGGCCGGCTACGTCACCCAGCATCATCGCAACCTTAGTCATCCTCTGGGACTTCCCACCCGAGCCGCAGTACCTTCGAGAACATAAACCAGTTGACCACACCACCACCTCAACCAGCGACAGCGACAGCGACAGCGACATTCACCCACCTTGAATTCGAATTACCCCTTCCATGGGTATACTCCGACCATGGTCTCGGACGAGTACGCATTCGTGGGCAGCGGCGGTCTCAAGCTAAAAGGCGCCAAAGTAACAAAGTCCAAGAAAAAGAAGAAGAAGAACAAGCAGTCCGACCTGGAAAAGAACCTCTCCACAGGGGAACCCACCTCCGCGTCTACCGCTCTCACCAGACGCAGCGCCTCAAAGGATCCAGGAAGCGACGAGAAGAAGGAAGAGGAGGATGCGACAAAGAGGAAAGAAGGTTCGGAGGAAGTAGAAGAGGAGGATGAGGCTGTCGGCCCGCGAAAGACCGAGGCGGAGAGGCGGTTTGAGGAGAGGAGACGCAAGAGGGTACGTATGAATATCATCAAAGCCCTTATTCCCTGGTTTTCTTTCCTTCGGAAATATCCGACGCAGGCTAACCCGGACGGAACCGCTAGCTCCTCGAACTCTCCGATTCTTCCACCAAGCGCCCGGAACTGCTCAAGACGCACAAGGAGCGGGTAGAGGAACTCAACACATACCTCTCCAAGTTGAGCGAACATCATGATATGCCCAAAATTGGTCCCGGTTGACGAGCTCAGCTCAGCCAGGCACGTCGGCAGCTGGATGTGCACGATTCTATGCGTGGTTCCCTGGCTTCGAGTCTTGCCGAGGCTCTTTTTCTCTCGTTTAGCGACAGGTGGCAAGTTGGCTGTGAAGAAGGGAGGGAGGGATAAAACGAGGCGTTGGTGGATCGGCGTCGGTGGTTTACTTACATACCCTCCGGTTTCATTGGGATAAATATTCTCCATTTTTGTCGTTCTCACAGGCGATATCCCCCTCCTTTTTTTTCTTCCCTTCCCTCCCATTAAGCTTCTCCTACGTGTGCACGCCACATTATTTCTCATATATTCAACAACTGGATAACGTGGTCTTGCGTTGGTATTCGACTCCCAACTACACGGGCGCCGATTAAGCTTACCTGCTTGCGCATCCATGCAGGAAGGCTCAGTACGTGCCCCAGAGGAAGTCTACGTGGTTCACTGGTACGCGGGAGCGGTTTCCTTTGAACCCCTCCATTCGTCTCCTGCTCATTATTTGGACCGACATCATAATATGTATGGGTTACATCATGACCTCTAGAGAGGGGAAGAATCCAGCATAGTAGAAGATCGGGTGTCAATTATATATATCCTGTCATATCATGGTCCTATGTATTCATCCATGTGATATCGTATGGTATACCACGACATTCCGATTCTATATCCTCCAGGCCGTAGCCACGTTTATATATGTACCCCATCCCAAGCCGTCGTCCCAGTCTTGTTGCCCGAAGAAATACGCTCTGAAATTGTGGCGAGCTTTTGCCCCCTAGCGAATGCAGCCTTTCTATTTTCCTTGACGCCATTGGTGAGATGTAAAGGAGTGGAAAAACAATGTCGTCATGTCGTGAGTCTTTTTTTTTTTTTTTTTTTGCTGATACAGTGGTCGCAAGTTGGTTGTTCATATCCCCTTTAAAGGAGTGCCATTCCGACCGCTACAACAGCCAGCCAAGTCAAAACGGTGTTCCGTGGCCGTGAGGCGTCGTCCTGGAGGTCGCCATCCGCCGTCTGGGCCGCGTCGGGGGCATCAGCCGAGGGCTCGACGCCCACGTACGAGGTGTGCGTGACCAGAACGAGGCCGCCGTCGGCGTCGGTCGATGTCATGGTGGTCACCACCTCGCTGCTTAAAGAAGGGCTCCTCGTCGTTCTCGGGGTGGTGGTAATCGTCGTCGGCGGTTCCGAGGGGCTGGGGCTTGTCTCCGGATCTTCTATGTCTGACGTTAGTGTTAGTGCATCGAATTAAAAGCTCGGAAGAAATCATGTGTGAAGAATGAAAGAGAAGAGAGGAAAATTCTCCGGATATCCCATTGCCTCTCGCCCGAGTATCAAAAAAAAAAGAAGAAAAAAAAGGAAAAAAAGGAAAATGATGGCAGGTCTTTCTGGGCCAGCTAAAAGCATGCAGGAATACAAAATTCGGCGACACTGCAGCGCCACAACAAGAGGCCATACATACGGGGCAGAGATTCAGTCGTTATCAGAGTAGTAGTAGCAGTACTAGTAGTAGTAGAGGGAGAGGGCGTAGAAGAGGGGAGCAATGGAGAAGTCTCGGACGTACGCGTCGTAATCGATGTAATAAAAGAGAAAGTGGGAGGAGGCTGAGGGGACGAAAAAGAGGTAGAAGGCACTTCCGACGGAGACGTACCGGGTTCAGAGGGCTCTGCTGATGTTGACACCGAGGTGGGCGAGGGTCCGGGTCCGGGATTGATCGAGGTAGGTGTGGTGGGTTCAGGTTCGTCGTCGTCGTCGTCGTCGTCGTCGGCATCCGAGGATACTGGTGGTGGTGGCGGAGGCGGCTGGGGAGAAACAGACGTGGGAGGAGGAGGAGGAGGAGGAGGAGGAGAAGGAGGAGGGGGAGGAGAAGGAGGAGGAGGAGCAGGTGTGGAAGTGGTGCCCGGTGTGGACGGAGGCTGTGGGGGGGTGGTAGGGGAGTCGTCGTCTGTGGGGGACGGAGAAATGGGCTCCTCGGACGTCGGAGCGACGACGGGAGGATCAGAGTCCGGGCCCGTAGGTGACGGGATAGGGGATGGGGAAGAGATGTCGGACACAGGGTCCGTCTCGTTGCCACTGCCGCCGGCATCTTGCCGCTTGGCTAGCTGGGCGATGCCCGTGGCTAGGTCTGGGTCATGGGCAGCAACAGCAGAAAGAGCATCCTCGTCCGAAGGGTAGACCCCATCCCGGAACCTCTCGGGGAAGTAGGCGTGTAGCAACCTGTGCAGCAGATTGTGCTGGCATGATCCCATCGGTGGCCGGGCATCGGCCCCGACTTGTTGGACACCAGGCCGGCCATCATGAGTGCTTGTGCTTGTGCTTGTGCTTATGCTTGTGTATGAGGGCAGGACGGCGGATGTGAGGCCAAAGGCCAAAAGGAAGCAGACCAAGAACGCAGCGACGAAGCGACAGGCCGATTTCATCCTTGCGGCAGTGGATTTCCGGGGCGAAACCGAGTATTCGAGATCCGAATCTAACCGGGTGGTGTTCGTGGTGTCATCAATCAACAGAGCCCTCTTCTCATCGGTCGCTCCGGTTGTGAGACCCTCCTCTAGATGAGGGCTCTCGTGGTGGGAAGTTCGAGGAGCCATGGTGAGCAGGCTAAGGGAAGAGAACCGAGTCGGTAAAGAGATGGGGCTCTGGTGTTTTTAATGAAACGAAAAAAAAAGAAAACAATAAATTAAAAGCTGGGAGAATGCCGGAGGGAAGTCTCCAAAGCCAAGAGATGGATGATCAGGGAGGACGCAAACGGAACGAAAAGGCGACAAGCGACTAACGTCGGTGTTGCATCATATGGTCGTGTTCAGGATGGAGCAACAGGACAAGCGACAAGGGGACGACGCAGTAGTTCCACTGTGACGGTGAAATGCTTGGGTAATAAGATGAGGAGAAGGGGGGAAGTAGAAGAAGCATGGAGGGTGAAGCAGGATAAAAAGAGGTCCAAATCCGATGCTGCTCACTAGATTTCGATGATCAGGCCCAGACCAGGAGAGCAGGGGGCGGGCCCGACTGCTTGGGAAAGTAGTGCGAGGTACCTAACTTACTGCTCCGAAGCGTAAGGTACAGATACGAGTTGTGTAGATGTAGGGGTACATTATACTAGTTACCAGGCAGCACGCTTTACACGTGTAAGAAGTAGACATACTTTGTAGATGGGAGATCCACCGATTACGTACATACCTTACCTACCTTAGTACCTCAGCCTAAGGTTAAGGTACCTTACTGTAATACGGGCCAGCTTTTGCTTTTGCTTAGACCGAGAAGTGGCCCCCGCGCCCATTATCGTGGAACTCCTTTAGTTTCTCTCGACGGCGGGAATTAGTTGGCCCTTACGGATACGAATAATACAATAATACATCATCATCGCAAGACGCCAGCGGCATGCACACAAATAATGGACAAAAGACAACATCTTGGCAAAGCAGTCTTGTCTTGAGGCCCTTTCAAACCCAACAGAAAGGTTAAGAGGCTGAGAGGCTGAGAGGCTGAGAGGCTGAGAGGCTGAAACGGTGGCTGGGGGTCACACCGCCGCGGGACGCTCGTAGCCAATCGTGCACGGTTCGGATGGTAAACCGGCCGCATGAAATCGATACGATGATGCAAGAATCTCAGCTCAGCAGGGAAGGACGAACCAAGCCGGACTAAGACAACGCCGAACGCGACGCCGACCACGTTAGTGCTTCGTATCGTTTCTTTGCTTTGCACAGCTTGCACAGAGTGACTACGTTGTATTCGTAATTAATATGAATTATGCTCTTCGTCAACCGTCGCGCTTAATCGGAAATCCCACCAACTAAATCTTCAGACGACCCACGACCCCTGCAGCACCCGAGGGTCCGGGTGCTTTCCGAGTTGTCTTGATAAGCGGGATGTTTCTTCTGACGGATTTGTTGGTTTCTTCCAAGAGGCAAACCAAATAGCGTGCAGCGTACAGAGTACGGAGTAGAAAGAAGAGGTTGGGTGGGTGCTGGGTGTTTGCAAGCGGAAACGTTTTAAGCGACGTCATGTCCACAGCTACCTACACGTGTATATCCGAATATGGTTTGGTGGCCCGCTTTGCAAATGGGCCCGCTGCTAAGGAGTAGGTATTACCTACGGAGTACGTGGCAGAGTGATGACAACGGCGGCATGGGGTGAGGTGATTAATAAGGTACCTAAGGTACCTAATAGCTAACTTGCACACTTAGCTTATGTCATCAACCTTGTGTACCTGTGTTTCTAATGTTAACGATCCACAATATCCTTTCGATAAGGCCCAATCCTTATCATCGTGGCCTCGACTTACGAAGGAAGAGTAAGGTACCTTACCCTTTGCCTTCCAGTGGAGGACAGCATGTGATGGGAGGTAACTGGAAGGTACCTTACGTTGTATTGCCAATTCACATTCTTCGTAACCACCTCACGAACCTTCGACTCCTCCTCTTTTCCTACCTTTACCACGACAACTCTTCAATACCGATAATATACCCTCATACGTATACCACGACCACGACAATGACCTGATGACGCGTGGCTCGGTCGCCTCCCTTCTCTCCTTACCAACAATCCGACAACTCGCATGTAACAGCCGGCTTCTTTCAACCACACCGATCCAACCCTCTCTCGACTCCTGCTTCCGCCCTCGTCATCTTTCATGAATGCCAGCTTCGAATCATGCCCAGTCACCTGAATCCCGAACCCGTGCGCGATCCTGGTCACGGTTCCGGTCACGGTTCCGGTCACGGTTCCGGTCACGGTTCCGGTTCCGGTCCTGAGACGGATGACGTTGGCGAGCTGAGGCCCCTGAGCCGGTCACCACATCCGTACCACCACCTCAATCGCGACTTGGCCTACGCCGCGCATCGTCTCACCGTCTACCGGTCCACATCCACCCCGGAAGCTACATCGAACACAACCAGCACATCCACCTCACACACCACCTTCGACCCGACAGAGACAGAGACAGATGTTACGACGGCACTACTAAAGACGGGCGGGAGCGGCGACCTTCTCGCATCATCCTTCCCTTCGTTTGCGAAAGAATCTACCCCTTCTAGCGGCAGCGGTACCGAAGCCGACGATGAACACTTCTTGAAGGGTCTCCCCGCCCCCAAGGTACGCCTGCGTAAGGGTCTGCGCGGCCGGAGCGAGCCTCTGTCGGGGACTTCGTCGCCCACGTACTCGCCAGCACCTGCACCTCTAGAACCCGAGCCCGGCCCGCCTATACCCCCGGGCGAAGGTCGGCAGGATGAGCGGCGGCAAGCCAGGAACAGTGTCTGGGAGAAGCACAGCTATCGCCGGTTCAAAGAGCTGATGCGCCGCGTGGCGGAGTTTGCCATCACCGCGACCTTGTTTCTGATGCTGTGGTCGAACCACGCCGTTAACCCCTTCCTCACGGCGTGGAGTGCAGGTGAGCACCTCCACCTTGTTCCAAGCGGGGGGGGGGTGGGCTTTTTAGTCCCTTCGTCCGGACTCCCCGTGCTGATTTATATATAATATTGCAGAACTGCGTCTCGTCGCCGCCTTGATCGCGTCGCTGATGCTCCTTTACCCCCTCCGCCTCATTGCGTGGACTTACCGACACCGCCAACCTTCCAAACAGCTACCCATAACCATCCCTACCGTCTTCGACCCAGCACCGATTATCTACCCACCCTCCGTGACGATGTTGGTGACTTTCCTCATATCGGTCGACAACTCGGCCGTCATTCTACCGAACCTCATTCTCAGCATTAGCTCCATTCCCAAGCTGCTGATCCCGACTGCTCGTTCCTACGAGCTTATTAATACGGTCCATTGGGCCATGTCGTGTCTACCCCTGTACTTGACTTCATCCCAGCCAAAGGCGTTCATGGCACTGTCACTGGCGCAGGCGCAGCAGGCGCAGGTGCAGCCCCAATACGCGCCATCATCCCCTACAGGGCAACCGGCCTTGACCCCCGAGATGGCTGTTCTTCTGTATCCCCTCCACCAATCTCTCCTGGCTGTTTTGCACTACCTAACCATGACGAGTCTGCTCCCCGCAGAGCTTCAACTGCTTTCCATTGGCCTCATAAACCTCCTGCTCCTCACATATTCCCCTCAAGCTGTCATCTTGCGGGTTCTGCTCTGGATCGGAGGCGTTTCCGTCCTCGTGTTCTGCGGGCCGGTCATACGATGGGGCATCGCCTTGGCTAGGGTCCCAAGGATGCGCTTCCAGAAGGCCATGCCTATGACTAGGAAATCATGGTTCGCCCTGGTCAGAGAGGCGCTTACTCTTCGACGATCGAGGAGCGGGTCCTTGAGGTCCTTTGCCGACGACAGCGCTTCGGAAACCAGGGACTCCGAAGACGAAGCCGCCGCCCACGGGGCCTTCTCCCGACCGTCGAGGGTGCGCACTTTCGGCCCTGACCGGATCATTCGAACCCCGGATGACGCGTTTGGCAGCTCCTCTGCCGTGAAGACCAACGGGCCCTCTTCCCCCGACGGATCGTTCCTCGCCAGGACAAGTACGTTCCCGCGTGCCGCCGTCAGCCGACCCAGACGATCCACGACGCAGACCTTCTCGGGTAGGCAGAAACGGAAGCCGTCCATCAGCGTGCGCTCTTTTTTCAAGTTCACCGAGACGGAGGCAAAAGTCAGGAAGTGGTTGTACTCCGCCTACGTGCATCTTGCCATGGTCGTCATCGTCCTCAAACTGGTCCGGGAATCCATCGGTCGCTATGCCTTGAATGGCCGTGAGCCGATCGGCTGGGCGTTGGGGTACCTGTTTGGCAATCTCCCTTGGTTCCGCTTCCGCGTCGTGAGAGCCAACTTGGAGCGCTGGATCTGCCTCCCGGACAACCACGGGGACCTCGGCGCCGAGACGTGCCCGCTGGGGTGGGTCCAGCACATCCGGACCGCCGACTTGGGGGAGGCCAACACCAGGCTGCTCATCAGCGTCTATTGGCTTACCGTCATCGTCTCCGGCCTGGTCGTGGTGGTGCGTCTGGACCCCAAGTACGAGGTGGACACGAGGCGCAAGGTGTTCCACTTCATGATGGTCGCCATGCTTCTCCCGGCCACCTACGTCGATCCCGTCTTCGCCGCCTTGGCGCTCTCCTTCGCCCTCGCCGTCTTCCTCGTCCTCGACCTGCTCCGCGCGAGCCAGCTGCCCCCGCTCTCGCGGCCCATTGCGGCCTTCCTCACCCCGTACGTCGACGGCCGCGACTACAAGGGTCCCGTCGTGATTTCGCACATCTTCCTCCTCATCGGCTGCGCCATCCCGCTGTGGCTCACCCTCGGCGCGCTGCCTCGAACGGGGCGGGCCAGGACCGGGGTCGATTCGGGCGGCGGCGGCGGCGGCGGCTACGACCACGAAAACGGCGGGTACGACGACGACCCCCTCGCGGGTTGGGACGTGGCGGGACGCGAGGTGAGCATGGTGTCGGGCGTCATCTGCGTCGGGCTCGGCGACGCGGCCGCCTCGCTGATCGGCCGCCGCTACGGCCACCGGAAGTGGCTGTGGGGCGGGGGGAAGAGCCTCGAGGGCAGTGCGGCCTTTGCCGTGGCTGTGTTTGCGGGCCTGATGGCGGCTACGGCCTGGTTGCGCGTCGGCGGATGGGCCGTGTCTCCCGGGCAGGAGGTCGCGTGGCCGGCTGCTGCGCGCAATGCGGGCCTGTGCGCTGGGATGGCGAGCTTGACGGAGACGGTGCTGACGGGCGGGAATGATAATGTGATTGTGCCTATTGTTCTGTGGACGTGCGTTAAAAGTTTGGGGGTTTAGTCGATTACGGTCTTTGGCCTTGGGCTTCGGGCGACCTGACTGGAAAGGGGACTTTTATTTCTTCTCGGTCAACGACACCGAACGGCGTTTGGGGGGGTCGGTGGATTTCTTTACTGTCTTCTTGGCCACTTCTTGGAGCTATGGGAAAGCTGACTATAAAGCATGGATGGACATTTTGATGATATAATTAATTCAAGGTCGCAAATATGTAGCCGGTCCGAAGCATCATCAGCCAGGGAGCAATCTGGCTCCACGGGAACCTCACCAACAGTCTAGTCCTTTTGTTGTTCGTTTATCTTCCGGCATCAAGTCATCAGTTCTTCTAATATGGCCTCCAGCTCCTCCCTACGCAAGGGAACGCTGAGAAGCTCCGTGCCGATGGCATCTTTCTTGCTCGTGATGATCTGGTGGTCATGGAATCTGGACTGAATGTTAGAGAAACGGAAGAAAAGATAAAGGGGAAAAAAGGGAGAGAGAGAGACAGAGGAAAAAGGGAGGGGAAAAACACACTCTTTCAGCAAAGTCCGGAACGCCATCTCAGAACTGCAAATAAACTCCTCAACAGCCTTGTTATACAGCATCCTGTACTCCACGCCCGGGTTCTCCGCATCGCTGCCGCGCAAGTGGGCGGAAGAAGAGGAAGAAGCGTTCCCACCATCCCCGCCCCCGCCATCGTCATCCATGGCGAGCAGCACCTCGGTAACGAGTAAGCGGAACAAGCTCTTCGCGTTCTCGGGCAGGCTGCGCAGCACGAAGACGACGCCGACTTTCCCGTTGACGGCGCGGGCGCGGCGGCCCAGCAGGTCGTGGACGTCGTCGACGGGGTCGAGCTCGACGTCCAGCGGGCGGAGGGTGGTGGCGTCGTGGAAGAGGAAGTTGAAGGCGGCGCGGCGGGCGGCGTCCCATAGGAGCGGGAAGTCGGGGGTGTCGACGGTGCAGACCAGGCGGACGGACGGGTGGGAGGCGAGGTGGGCGAGGGCGTGTTGGATGGCGGGGCGGCGGAGGGGGGGTGCGTCCATGGAGTTTACTAGGAGGGTGAGGGTCGTACGGGTTGCGGTGAGGCGGGCGGTGAGGGCGTGGAGGAGGGCGTGGGGTTGGGCGGGGAGCTTCACGGCCGATGATGGGGGGATGGCGGTGGCGGTGGTGGCGGCAGTGGCGGTGGCGGCGTCCGGGTCGGTGGTAGCGGTGGAGGCGGATTCTGGGTCTGGATCGATGGCGGCGGCTATGGTGATGAGGAGGTCGCGGAGGGCGAGGGAGCGGACGTAGCCGTTGACGATGACGAGTTTGTGCCGGTCCCGGTCCCGGTCGCGGTGGTGGATGGACGAAGCGTGGATGTGCTCGGCGAATCGGGTGAGGAGGGCGCGCTTGGAGCCTTGGCCGTAGAGGCAGAGGCTGAAGCCCTGGGAGAGCTCGAAGGACCACTGGGGAAAGGAGGCCTCGTGGAGGGACTGGAGGAAGGTGAGGTCGTCCTCGTGGTGGTCGCGGTGGGTCCGTAGCAGCGAGAAGTACTCCTCGTGGGTCAGCAGGTCGAGAGAGGCCAAGGTGTTGTTGGATGTTCTGGGGCGGCCGGGCTTATTGTGCAAGAAGTATAGCTCGTGGGGCGGGAGGTCGCGCGGCGGAGTCGGTGATCGGGCCTTGGGCTTCCTACCGCGGCGCGACGGCGTTTTGGAAGGAGTTTGGGCTTCCGCGACATCTCCCTCGTTTTGATCCTCGTCCTCGTTTTCGTCGTCGTCGTCGTCGTCGCTCGACTCGTAAATTTCTCGCACGAGACCGTCTTCGTTTTCGTCGTCGCTCACGTCGTCTCTGACAGCTCGCTCAATGAGGGCCCTTGCACTTTTACGCTTGGCAGATCGGTCGACGGCCGCTCTTTTCCGCGGAGTGAAGGCATTGGGGCCTGTGGCCTTGGAAGGTGTTTCGAATCGGGGTTGTTGCAGCTTGGATGGCGTCGCGGTAAGGTTGGCTGCGGGTGTCGGCACGTCCTTGTTCTTTGGTGGCCTGCCTCGTTTCCTCTTGGGCGTCTCTACTACTGATGCAGTGGTGGATGCAGTGGTGGAAGCAATAGTTTCTGCAGAGTTGCTAACATTTCCATTGGCTGTACGACCCGGGACAGCTGCAGCAGAGACTGCCGATACTGTGCTCGTGGTCGTGCTCGTATTTTTTGGTGGCCTCCCTCGTTTCCTCTTGGGTGTCTCGGTGACGGGAGGAGGCTCTGACACGGTAACCGAGTCATCTTCCTCTGGTACATCGTATAAATCCCCTTGGAAACTCGGGGCCCGGGCTGAGGTGCGTTTCCTTTTGGAAGGAGTATCTGGTTCTGTCTCTTCGGCGTCTTCGTGATCGCGAGCTCGTTTCCGTCGGGACTGAGGACTTGGAGACTCGGTAGTCTCTTCAGTGTCGGATTTCCGGCGTGCCATATTGGAGATGTGGCAGTAAGACTGACAAGAAGCTGATTCTCTAGAGAAGACTCGTCTAGTTGTGGAGGATGTGGTTATGTGGTTCGAGAGACGCCGGCTCAAGTTGAGTAAGGGAGGTGGTTTAAGGTAGTTGATTAGGACGCGGGAGACGCGACAAGTCAAATTCCTAGAACTGATTCGGTACGTACCTCAGTTTTTACAGAGTACCTCCTACAAGTACCTAGTCCGTACCTGGTGAGACGTGAGACGGTCCGAGCACAGGCGCCGTTGTTTTTGAAGTTGTGATAGCTCAATTGCCGCCATAGACGCCAGTAAACGCCAATAACCGCGATAACCGCGTGGTCACTGTTCTCCTTCTCACCAACATCAACGCAGTCCCAAAGACCGACCCGTAACTAAACATCATATTACCTTGATCTCTTTTCATCATTTCGTCTCAACTTTTGTCATGTTTCTAATGCCTTCTTGGAGTCCTTCCAGAATTTGACCTGATCTTTCTGTAAAATGAACCTCAACCTGTCAGGGACTCTGAACATCTTCAAACTCATCGCTCGACCTTCCTTGTGCCTCCCTCATCACACCGTCTCAACCTTCAATGATCTTCCCATTCCCCTGAACAAAGCCTTTGAGGGCCATAGAAAAGCAGACATTAGGGCGGTCGTGCTAGATAAAGATGACTGCTTTGCGAAGCCACACACAAACGAAGTGCATCATCCTTACGAGGTAATCGTCTGAACGTCTCCAAAAGTGCTTGTGATCTTGGTGGAAACGTAACTTACAGTGCTGACGACATGCAAAAAGGAACGCTTCGAAGAGCTCAAAGCAGCTTACCCGGGCCGTCGTCTGTTGATCGTGTCCAACACCGCCGGGGCGACGAGCTACGACAGGTCCCTCGCTCTCGCGCAGGAGCTTGAAAAGGCCACCGGGTTACCCGTCCTGTCTCACGCCACCAAGAAGCCGGGCTGCGGGTCGGACATCATGGACTACTTCAAGCAGTATCCGGAGACGGGTGTGTCGCACCCCTCGCAAGTTGCGGTTGTGGGCGATCGACTGGCCACCGACATGATGATGGCCAACATGATGGGGAGCTGGGGCTTCTGGGTGAAGGACGGTGTGGTTGCGCCGAATGAGAAGAGTGTTGTGAGTATAGTGGCCCTTCAGCCTCCTTTCTGCTCCACGCTATATCATGCTGATTGGAATACTAGTTGTCAAGGTTAGAGTGGAGGGTGGCCGCGTTCCTGGCGGCTCGGAATTGTCATCCGCAGGATCCCAGGAGTCCGTTCGAATAATCCATCCACTCACCTCTGTACTACTTGCTATTTATTTGTGTGTGTTAGTGGTGGAGAAGGATCACGCGCCTGCCGGCAGAAGATCAGCTTTCATGATTTGCCTCTTTTTTCTTTTCTTTTCCTCTTCTATTGGGAAAGTCCTCTTCACCATTGTTTGTTTTCATACCACCTATTGTTTCCTTTCCTCGCTCTTCCACCCTATTGTGACCAACTTCATTCACCCAGATCATCTACACAATAGATGAGAATGTACCTCGACCTCCTATGCCTCTCCTATCTCTCGTACGTCCCAGACACTCTCACGGCACTATATCACCTGCTTCGCTTCAGGCCCTTGCCCTGATTCACGACAACCCGGCGTCTATAAATCCGACCTTACATAGGAGAGCTGTTCTCCTCTTGAGAACCCAACACCTGCAGCTCATTTCTGCTACATCCATCCACAAGGACTTCGCCTTCAGTCGCTGAACAGCTGCACCGATTCTTCTTTACCCACTTCGTCTTCTGCCAACAGCTTATCTTTTCTCTATCTCACCACTCCCAACCTTTCCTACCATGGGAGGCAAACACTGGTCCCTCCAAGAGGAAGAGGTCTTCTGGACCTGCGTGGTGCCTCGGTCCTCCAAGCGGATCGTTCGCGACCCATGCGTTCCCGAGATGAGCTGGGACAAGCTCGTCGGCGTCATGGAAGCCGAGATGGCCGCCAGAAACATTCCTCCTCGGAGACAGTATACTGGTCTCAGTCTCTGTACGACTTGATTTCCGCTGCTAAACTCGGCCATTCCCCCCCCCCTTCTCTCCCGTCTCTCCCGTCTCTCCTTACTGATTCGGTGTTCCATAGTCGAGCACTTCTTTCTGAACATCGACCAGCGCCACTTCTCCCCCAATGCGCGTCGCTTTGCGCAACGCTATCTGCGACAGCGTGGTGAGTCAGCACTGCTTCGGGCTGGATGCCGCGATGGTGAAGCCTCGCCAGAAGGGACATTTTATAGCTAACTCGGCTCAAGATGTTGCTGCACAGAAGGAGAAGAACATGAACGAACAGAAAACCGGCCCCGAGGATGCGGATCCTGTTCTGGAGTCTGCCGCCGTCAGTGACAAGGAGCTTGCACTCGCCGTTGCACTCGCCGAAGAGGCGACGATCAATTCATCCCATCGCGTCGACCGAGTGACGCCAGCGCCAGGTCGTGAGGCGGCTTCTGCTGTCGCGCCCGAGACTCAGACTCCTGCTTCGAAGGTCATCCGTACTTCGGCCCGCGACAAAGAGAACCGTTACCTCCCCTTCCATCCGGTCAACCCTCGTGGCCGCGCTCCCGTGCAGAGACAGAGGGCCGACCTCGAGCCCTACCAGGAGTCATCTCAACGACGGGACGAAAGGCACGGACTTGCTCACCCGCATCTTGACCGAAACCATGCACATCGTGACAATTTGCAATACCTTGCCCGCCGTGTTATCGACCTCGACCATCCCTTTCACGCCCGCCGGGAGGACTGTGGCCCTTCATCCTGCCATGGCATCAGCCCGATGGACCACCGGAGAGTCGGTCCAGGCCATGTTTCTTACGTCTCTCCATATCCCGCCCCCCGGCCAGATGAGAGATACGAAATGAGTGGCGCTCTTCCCGCTCCTCCTACCCACGTGAACGAGCGTTGGCTTCCTCCCGTCAGCGAACTCCTCAGGATCGCCTCCCGTGCTCCTCTTCCCCCTCCTCATGAGAGATCCCTGAGCCCATCGCCGGAGACTCGACCCGTCGGTGGCCCATCGCACCGGGGGTACCCGACGCATCACCTCCCTCCACGGAGCGAGGAACAAATGCCGACGTCTCGCCACGTGTACCCCAGGCCCGGGGTTGCTTATTTCCCCCTTCATGCCAGGGCGGTTGGCCCCGTCCAGTTCCCCGAGGAGCAGTACTACCAGGCGCGCCAGGACCAGCGGGAAGACAGTACGGCGACGACGACGACGACCTACATGACGAGCGACGGGGGCATGGATGGTACGGACTATGATGGGTGCGATGACGAGCAGTCTTCGGTTTCGGATCCTTCTTCGTATGCGACTCCCGCGACTCACCCAAAGGATATATGCTGAGTAGTACTGTTCTCCCGACATGTCACGGCGGGGGTTTTTTCTTTTTTCTTTTTTCCCTTTCTTTGGCAACGGATACAGGACTGGAGCATAAACTAGCAGCTGAGCGGACGGTTCGGGGCTTTTGCTCCGTACCTTAGGGCCATCGGGGTCTTTCGGCTTATAGTCCCGGGACATCGTGTCGGCTTTTGGTCGGGCTACAGGGCCACAGAAGCTAATGACTCGCTCATGTATAGAGAGGCAGTAGTGGTGTTAGATCCCCTTATCCAGGCGTGATAAACATGTCAGACTTATAGAGTACCTTAATCCTATGTATCTATACTTATTTCCCTTTGTTTTTCCTAATAGTTAGATATCCCCGTGAAGTACCACGAACTTTACATACCTAGATAAATAAGGTACACACATAATTCCGCGTACCTTATTTGTGTTCTGACAAGCGGTATGTCGTACATGGAGGTACTTACGTGCCTTTTACACTCAAAATATTCCCTGTACTCTCTCGTGTTTCTGTACTCATGTTCATCATAAATCCGTGTGATTTCTTGCATGTCCTCACCGAGAACGGAGGACGGCTGACTAATTCGGTGAGACCATAAGCGCCACCATCTTCGCTTCCTCATGCCGATACGTTCAATTTACCTTCTTTTTATTCGTACAACGTTCTCAAGTGAAAACGATATAAGAGAGTTTCGAATGCTCTAAAACTATATTTCCCACCACACTTGTCGTGGTTTCTATGTTCTATTTTTACGCTCGAGCTAATAATGGATTTTCCCGTGTAAGGAAAAAAAGGGGAAAAAAGAAAAAGAAGAAAAAGAAGAAAAAGAAGAAAAAGAAGAAAAAGAAGAAAAAGAAGAAAAAGAAGAAAAAGAAGAAAAAGAAGAAAAAGAAGAAGAAGAAGAAAAAGAAGAAAAAGAAGAACAAGAAGAACAAGAAGAACAAGAAACACAGAGCAGACGACAAAATGTCTCGCAAGGCCACCTCAATCCCAAAGACAACGAGGAAAAGACTCCCCCTCTGCCCCCTCGAAGTCCCCATCTTCTCCCCCGCCGTCACCCTCCAATCCCAATGCCTCCCCATCGCCCGCATCGAACTCAAAGCCACGGCGTCCTACCCAGCCGGCGGCCTCACCCCGCCCCTCCGCGACGTCCAGTGCATTACATCCCTCACCACCTCCTCCTCGCCCTCTCCCTCTCCCTCTCCGCCGTCATCATTATCATCATCCTCATCATCTTACGGTTCCGGCCGCCCCTCCATCCGCGTCATGATCCGCCCGCGCGGGCCCCGTGACGGAGGACGAGAACGAGACTTCATCTATTCAGACGCCGAATTCCAAGCCATGCTCTCTTCCGTCGCGAACCTCGTT